ACTACTGCTGCTGCATTTAATTGAATCTATTGTCTCGTTTTCCTCTCTCTCTTTAGCTATTATCACGCTCGACTCGCTTATTGTATGGTGTTTGTCGAATGTGTCACCACCATTCAACCTACCGATGGCGATGATGAATAACAGAAATAGTGACACCCATAGACACCATCTGTTCAATATATCAACTCAAACAATATTGAAAAACTTAAATTTTTACTAAAATTAAATGCTAAATTTTTATTTTTAGATTCATACTGATAAAAACAAATTACCGACTTCATAATATTATTCATTACTTAAATAATTACGTTCTATTTGTAATCAATCATTCAAATAGAAAAAAAAGAGATAAATGACATATATATTTATCTATTTTAATCAATAGAGAAACGCTTGAGGCAATTGCTTTCATATCAGTAACATTCATTACTTAGTAAACTAATAAATAAAATGAACACATAATTAAAAAAAATGTCATAAATATAAATATTTCGTCGTCTGTCTCTATTATTCTAAACAGATTTATGACAATGAGTTTCCATCTTGATTAATTGATGACAAATTTTTTCATATATTATGAATCACACAAGTATAGAAAGAGAGTACATATCGATAGTATTTTTGTTCAACATCAAGTAGTAAAATCTTTAATGATACTCAAGGTAAATAGACACTTAATTATACATAGTCAATGATATGATTACGTATTGATCACATTTTAATGTTCTGAAATTTGCATGATCAAGTATACACTGTAAAATAATTCAATGACTCATCTAACCCAATAGTTACTATGATCAGATGACATTATCAAGAAATTTGAACTTTAGTTAGGTGCTGTTAGTATTACTACAAAGATGCTGATATTCATGGTTATACTAACAAAATGTTTTATAATTAAAATTCTTTTTTTTATGTTAGATTAATGTTTATTTAGTGATAGATTTGATCCAATAAATATCGCGGCACAATTTTCTCTATATGTCACAGCTGAACAATGCGGATATGTTATTTCATAAATGAAAACATTAAAAATCTAAAGATTATATCATTTATCGTTTTAGATTTCTTTTTGATAATTTGCCGATCTATATGTATTTCTGATGTTTATAATGTATTGTATTAAAAGATAAAGAAACTCGTTTTAAGATTAATTGAATTTTAAAATAAAAGTCAATATTTATTGAATAGATAAATAAGATTAAAGATATTTAAATTTGAATTCATAAATAATTGATCAACTATTGTAATGAGATCTACTATGAAATTATCAAAGTTTACTAACCTTAAATTGTAATATATTTTAATGTAACAATATAGTAATGAAAACAGATTCTTTAAATAAATACAGTTTATTTGCGCTTAACTATTATGCATATATATATATGTTGATCGGATTTCATTCTCCATAGGACTTAAAACAAATACCTTCATACGTAATCTTATCAAGGGCTAATACACATTATAATGACCTTCACTGCTATTTGTCACTTCTTTCTTATAACAAGCAAACTAAAGAAAAGAATTTTCTTAAATTATAAAGACAGAAATGTACAAAAAAAGAATGAGAAGAATGATTTGATAATCTTTTATAGTATCGGAATTCTTCTGTCTCACGTTGCTTATTAAAATTCTAACGGGTTCATTTTCACTTCCTTTTTTAGCAATTAATATAATTGTATTGCAATTAACAATTAATTTACACTTTACAAAAGTGAAATTGAAAGAATGTAATATTTTAAAATCTTTCATAAGAGTATAATAGATACAAAAGACTTGATACAAGAAATAAGTTAAATATCTTTTTTTCGTTGTAAAAAAATAAAATATATACACATATATAAATGGTCTATTTTCACAAGATAATGTTGTGTACTATAAATAAACCTGAATTATACAATAATGAATTTTATTACCAAATTCCATAATGACCAACATGATGATGATGATGACCAACTCCATAACCCAAACGACGATGATAACGAGGAGCGATACTTCCGAATCCTGGTCCCATACGATAACTGGGATATATTCCTGTACCAAAGCGAGGTGGTCCAAAAAGTGGAATCTGATTACGACGATTATATGAATAACCACCACCCATTTTTGCTTGAGAACTTAAGTGTTGTCAGTTGCTTTTCTTTTTATTAATTGGAATAAACAGAATGCAACGGTTATATATATATATATCTATTAAACAAATAGAAAGAAAGAAGTACGTCATTACTTGCCCTCATCTATAAAAAAAAGGGGTTTATGATTTAGATTCTTCTCTCTCAGGAAAAATTGATAGCAATAAAAGAACGAACACAAAGTGTAAAAGAAATGAGAGATATTTCAAATAATAAATAAACCGACAGCATCAAGTTTGGGGCAGAATAATGGATTTTCTACACGTTCTGTTTTCTGTCATAAGTCAATAAATTTATTTTTCTTCATAAATCTCCTTCGCAAATTCAATAGAAAAACAACATGTGAAAGACTGGAGTTCCCTACTTTTTTATTTTGAGCACTTTCAATGTCAATTTATCCATGAAATATTCCTCGATTTTAATGAAAGAATACAACTATCATAAATATTTATGGATAATATTATATGAATGTCGGAATTTACGAATATTTTATTTATAATTACAAAAATGCAATGAGACACTTACAAACCTGAATTTCGAATGAGCTGTCTAGAATATGCCATGAAAAAACAAGGTAGTATAAAATTTTCTAATAAAAAAAAACAGGAAACCATGTCCGTAATGATGATAACATTGCGTAAGCAAACTGACATGCTATTTGTAATTAAAATACGCCAAGGAAACTAGATATTAACGTGCGTGAATTGTTTTTTGATTGAGTTTCTTTTTATAAATGTGAGATGTCACGTAAAAAACAACGTGTTTCTAAGGAAAGAGCAATTGGTATGCGAATGGTTGACGCACTGACAGATTGTATTGAAGGGTCAAATATCAAGTAATTACAAAGGTCGACCCGGAAACGCCAATCCTAATCATCCTCCTAATCCCAAAAATAGTCAATCAGTAGCTGAGTGGACTCAAAATAAAATGCAAGAACAAACAAAAAATGAAAAGAACATTTATAAAAATTACTATTGTTCTTTCAATCATATGAATTATCAGTTAAAAGAATAAGATTATACATAGTGAATTATATGTTTCATGATTTTTTAATGTTTTCTGAGCACGTAGTGAATACTTTACAACTCAAAACAGATTATACTAGTCTAATATAAAACAATGAATCTCGGTAATCGAATGTACATTTAATTATCTTATATATCGACGTGACAATTATCTAATGAAATATAAATTTTCATTAATTCGTTCTCAACGAGTATAATTCAAAGAATAGATTTTGTTGTCTTATATCATTATCGTTGATATAAAGACTATCGATTTATTTACTATTACTGTTATTCTATTTGAATGAATAATCAACATATTTCATAAGATCTTCTTAATTATTTAATATAATATAAACTAGTTAAATTATTATATGAAATCATGGTCTGTCCTACATAGTTTATTAATGTTTAATGTTCATGTGATCATAGCTTGGTTCGAGTATATATTTTTATAATAGAATAATTGCTTTAAATTCAATCAATATCAGAGTATTTTTTAAGGATCATTTGTCAATTATAATCTTGTTGAATATGTCTACTACACGGATGATGTATGTGAAGTAATGATTATCTCATTCGAATGATATGTTAGAGAGATAATTTTAAACGAGATGTGTTTTCAATAGTTATGTTTTTCTGCTATTTGCAATTGCGTTAGAGACATTCAAATAGTTATGTCTTTGTTTGTTGATTTTAATTTACTAAAAAAAAATGAACATCATTGGTATGCAATATTTAGTCTACTAGTGTTTTTAACATCCTACGGTAATTAGGAAAAAAAAATGGTGGAAAATATATTCATGAAAACATATACACTTGTCCTTTTCGTATAAAAACATACGTTACATTCTAACGAAAGAAATGGTGTATTTTAAAGAAACTTATTGTTTGCTATTCCGAACTGTGCGATACAGTAATCGGATGGATCTCTGTTTATTCTTTTGTTATGAATGCACAATAGTCAATTCATTAGACTGATAAGCACGTTCCATATATACTGTCTGTTATTTTCTAAATTGTGAAATATCTTCATATAAATTCAAGGTAAATTTGAATTAAAAATTAATATCTTTGATACCGTTCAAGTGACAATCTAAATTCTGAAAAAAACTTTGTTTTATTTTTTTGAAAAAAATCTTTTTTTAAGAAAAGAAAATAAGATGCGTTTCAAGTTTTTCAAATGATTCTGTTAGAGAAATTGATTTTTTTATTGAAGAGTATTCTATTTGTTATGAAATATTCATGTTGTGAAATCAAGTCAAAGATCAATATAAAATATCAGAATAATAAACATGTGTATTTAATGATGCTTTTTCTCTTTTTATTTTTGATGTTTCAATATTCTTAAAATTCAATATAATACTATGTGAGAAGCTCAAAATAAATATATTTATGTATTTCTTTGTATTGATATGTTACAAAAAGTCTTCTAAACTTCATTATACAGTACATAATTAAGATCATGCTGTATTATACCATGACTAATATTCTTTATTTATATACATCATAATAATGTGCAAAAAACGGCTCATAGACCTTCGATATATTATATTTATATATAAATTATGATGACAAGTGAAGGGTAAATTTGATTTTTTCCTCTGCGATATTATCGTTGAACGCTGCAATGACAAGTCGATGTTAGTATATAAAGGTGTACAGGTGTAATCGATAGAAAAAATATAGAAAATAGGTTTTTCTTTCTCCAGCAGTGCATTTTTTTTCTTGCGTTCTATCATTTTCTCCTTAAACGGATCTTACACAAAAAAAGAAAAATGCAAATCGGACGACATGTAGATAAATAAAAGTACAATAAACAATATTTATTCATGCGCTAATATTCATTTGTAAAAATTAGAACATGCGTTGGTTACTTTTTAGCTACGAATCAGATGCCATTGTAAAACAAATTGATGATTTATTACAAGTTGTTGGACAAACTGTAATTCATGAACATCATCAAGGAAAATCAACAATACAAGAAATTCAAGAACAAATTAATCATCATAAACCAAATCGTATTATTGTTATTGTTAATGAACAAAATTCAGAAAATACTCATTCTCTTACAACAACACTTACAGATCATCTTCTAATACCTCTCTTTATAACTCAAGCAACAATCAATACATTTCCTCCAGTTCCAGTACTTTTATTAACATTTACAACAGAAAATAAACTTACCGAGCCTAATTCATCAATTAATATTGTTCAAAATGCAACCGATGAATTAATTAAACTTTATTCACATATTATTAAGTATGTTAAATTTCATTTTTTAATAGAAAAACAAATATTGAAATATTTTATTTTTTTTTCAATTAGTGTAAAACTTTTTACACCGATTAGTGATGAAGATTTAAAAGAAGATATTTTATTAACAAAATTAAAATCATTATGGGAACATAATCCTGAAGAATATCATCATATAACTATTCTTTCGGATGTTTTACCAATTTTATTAGCAATATTACATGATGGAAAAATAACTGGTCAAATTGATGTTTGTAATAAAGGTACAATGTCATTAAAATGCTTTGAACAACTTATATCTAAACAAGTAAAAAAAGATTTAACAATACATCCAAATAATATTAATGAAGATTTAATTGATAATTTTGAAAAATGGAATAAACAAATGATTTCACCTGAAACACGTCATCTTTATCAAGCATCATTTATAGTACCAAATGCAGAAGAAAGTCTTCATCAATATCTACAACAAAAATCAATCCAACTTAGTCAAAATAAATCAAAAATTATTCTTGTAACAGGTGGTTGTGGATTTATTGGTAGTACATTTATTAATCATTGGCTTGAAACATATCCTGAAGATCGAATAATTAATATTGATCGACTTGATCCTGTTTCAAATTTAAAAAATGTACAAAATTCGACATCATCAAATTATTCATTGATTGTTGCTGATATTAATAATAAAGATATTGTTTTACATTTAATGAAACAATATAATATTACACATATTGTTCATTTTGCTGGTAAAATTTGAATTTTGTTTTTTGATAGAATAAAATCTTATTATTTTATATTTAGTTCAAGCTCATCTTGATAATACATTTGGTAATAGTGTAACATTTACAGAATCGAATGTTTACGGTACACATTCAGTACTTGAAGCAGCTCGAATTTATGGTAAAATTCAAAAATTTATTCATATTAGTACAGATGAAGTTTATGGTGAAACAGCAGCTGGAAGTTATCAAGAAACAAATCTTCTCAATCCACTTAATCCATATGCAGCAACTATAGCTGCTGCAGAATTTCTTGTTAAATCATATGGTGAAAGTTTTAAATTACTTTATTGTATTGTACGTTTAAGTAATGTTTATGGACCACGTCAACACTTTGAAAAAATTATTCCTGCATTTATTAATAATTTATTGAAAGGTGAAAAATTAAAAATTCATGGTGATGGAAGCCAAACACGACTTTATATTTATGTTGAAGATGTTATTCGAGCTATTGAAACAATTTTACATAAAGGAAAAACACGAACTATTTATAATATTGGAGGAGAAAATGAATTAAGTGTTATTGATATTGCTAAAAAACTTTTAAAAAGACTTCAACCTGATAAAATACCTAATGATGTTATTACATATGATGAAGGAAGAGCATTTACAGAAAAACGATATTCAACAACATCAACAAGTGGTGCAATAAGAAGTCTTGGATGGAAAACAAATGTATCATTTGATGAAGGATTAAATAAAACTATTCAATGGTATAAAGAACATCAAGATTATTGGATAAAAGACGATGATAAAATAGTTTAATTTATCTTCTAAAATAATATTTATGCAAGAAAAATTTTTTAACTTATTTTTAAGTCTATATTTTGTTCAACATATGATACTCTTCTGTTTAGATTATTACTAATCTAAAAAAATAATAAAACTACGTAATTTTCATTACTTCAATTCTATTAATTTGTACTCTTGAGAAGATAAGACTCATGTTACATCATATACTTTCTTCTTCGATATTTATTTATATAAACAAGAAAAAAAAGATGAACATAAGTTAAAACAAAAAAGAAAGGAAGAACTCGATTAAAAGAGATGTCAATATACTGTAAAAACAAGGCAATAAACGAGATCTAAAAGAACATATTTTAATAATAAGAAACAATTCGATTAATATGAAAAAAGAAAAGAAAAATACAAAAAAAGAATCATTCTCCATTACGAGATAAATTTATGATATGCTTCTTCATATGTCCTAAAATAGATAAATATGATTAAAATAAAACAAAAACAAGAAAAATTCAATTACGATCAAGATTTGTTTGTTGTCCAAAACGTTTTCCACATTCACTACATCCATATGGTCGTTCTTTATGATGAATACTTCGAATATGTCGCTAAAATATTATTAAACAAAAAACATATATATGGACATAGTTGTTTTCAAAATAAATATCTACTTGTAGATTTGATGATATACTAAATGCTCTTGTACACATTAAACATGTATAAGGTTGTTCACCTGTATGACTTCTTAAATGTCTTGTTAAATTCGCAGCACGAGGAAATTGTTTCGAACAAAATTCACATTCATAATACCCATTACCATGTAATCGATGTTGTTGTTGTTCAATTTGTTGTTTTTCTTCATCCTCATCTTCATCTGATATTATACTACTACTATTTGATTCATCTTCAATTGAACTTTTCTTCGGTATTGTTAAATCAAGTGGTGTATCACAAGTAATTTGCTCATCATCTTCCTCATCTTCTTGCTGGTGTTCTTCCTGCTGTTGCTGTTGATGTTGTTGTTGTTGATAGAAATGAAATAGAATTTGTTTATGTAAAAGTGCCCATGCTTCAATTGGAAGTGTTGATGATGCTAGAGTTTCTTTTGTTGATAATGAATGATACATTTGTGTTGCAGCAGCACCAATAGCTTTACATTTATGCTCCTCATTAAGATTATTATTAGTATTAATAGAATTAGTATTAGTATTAACTGAACATGTTTTTTTATGTCGAACATAATATTGTCCATTCGGAAATGTTATTAAACAAGTTGGACATTTAATTTCACGTGAATGAATACGTTTATGACGACATAAATTAGATGATTGAGTATAAGCTTTTGAACAAATCTAGTTAATTTGTTGTTTTTTTAGAAAAGACATATGTTTATTTTCATTATAAGACTTACTTCACATGTATAAGGTTTGATTGTTTTATGTATATGCATATGTTGTTTAAGACCACTAGAAAAAGCTTTTCTTTACATTATATATAAATAGAATTAATAAGATTTACCTATGTGTTGCAAATGATTTTCGACATTCTGTACATTGATGATGATTTTGTTTTAATGTTGAAGATGAAGAAAGTAAAGATAACATCGTCAAAAGTTTAGTTTCTCCTTTAAACAGATTGGATTAGTTGTACTTTTTATTTATATGCCATCATCAAAGTCTCATTTGTGTATTCTCTTTCGATTTTATCGTCTACCTGCTTATTGTATTCATTCATTTATATATATTCTATATTAGAAGAAATAGAGAGAGAGAGAGAAAAAAAAGAGAGAACACTTCTGTTTGCTTAATCATCATCCTTCTAACTGTCATAGCAGATCATAAAGACATGGGTGTTGAGAATGTCGCCGTTTATCTGCCGCCACCCGAAATATTTAATGACCAGGTAGAGAAGAGAAGAGAAGAGAGAGAGGGAGAGCAAGAGAACGGAACAATCGATACCCGGGTGCCATCGACGACGAATAATTTGACTAATGGCCATCATCATCGTCGTCGTTCTCCCATATAAGAAAGACGAAAAAAATGAAATGTGAATGAAAAGCAGAACATATAAATACACATAGCAAAGAAGTGATATGACATTCCAACGATGAATTGAAAAAAACAGGTTATCACAATCATTATTTGATCATTAGAATATATACAATCGTCTTTAATGCTATTTTATCATTTTACTATTGATGACAATATACATGTCGATGCTCATTATATGTATATAAAGAATGAATATATAAAGACTCTCTTTCTCACAACAGGTAGTCTTATATGGAATTGAATAGAAAAAGAGAAAAAAAAGGAACACTGTCGATAATGATATCAGACAGACTGAATAAGTGAAGAAACAATTACACCTCTTTGCTTCGACGATTCTATTCATTGAATAGAAAACGATACATATATTCATGATGAGAAAATGATAGTTTTCAGATATATATACATGTATGCATGCATGGTATCTTTTCAGAGATTTTTAAAAGAAGCAATAAGAATAAAAATGATTGGACAATATAAACAGACTCGATAAACTTTTAATGAAGAAAATAAATATGAAACAGATAATTTACTCTACTATTTATAATGAAAAGCGAACCTTTTATATATATATCTACTCAAATTTGATCATACTATATTATTGAATGGTACATAACATGACTGTCTTCAATAAATCCATCAAAAGATACTATACAATTTTTTTGTCAGATCTCGCCAAAAAAAAAAAGAGAGAGAAACAAAAATTTGTATTTACTTTCTTATTAAATAAAATTATGCTTACGAAAACAGTTAAATACAAAGAACATAAATTGCAACGATTTTTTATTCATTAATATATCGACTATAATTCTATCCATCGATTAAGGAGATTGTATAAGAAATATTCTAAACTTATCTTAGTGATACAACTAGATATTTTTCTCTTGAATTAATCTTATCAAATGTCACCGACTTGAAAAGAATCATTCATTTTTTTCGATAGTTAAGTGAAGACCAATTTGTTCTGTTATCTTTCTTTGACAATAAATTAATTTGTAAGTTCGATTTTCGTTCGTGTTCATTCTTTTTGATCAAAGAAGAAAAAAAAAAGTCTTTACAAACACTCATTACCAAAAAGAATAATATACAAAAGAAAGAACAATGATACACAACAGACACGAGAGTTTATCAAAGTAGAAAAACAAAATGAAACATAAAATAGTTTTTTTTTTTAAGAAAATTTGTTAGTTATGTTCACTTCGATATTTTTCTTTATCATCATTTCTTTCATCGCGATCAATTTGATTTCGTACACCAACAAGAAAATTTTCCGCTGCTTTTGTTGTTGTTACAATTGGTTGAATAGCAACTGATGGCATTTGTCTTAATAAACCACCAACAACACCTAAAACACCTTTTCGTCGTCGTCCTAATTGTGCTTCTGTTCTTAATTGATGTGATGTGGTATTAAAACTTTGTCGTATAACATTAACAGCATATGTAACACCTTCACGTATATCATTCGGTGGTGGATGATTTCGTACCATAATTGTTTGGTTTGATGATGATGATGACGGTGATGAATTTGAAGTAATTGCTTCATTTGGTGGTATTGTTGATGATGAAACAAGTTCAAAACATAATAATGCAGCAAAATGTGCACAACGTACAACTTGACTACTTAATTCAATCAAAGCTAAAGCTGTACTTGTTGTAAATGATGATGCACCACGTTGTATACCACGTAAAACTCTACCATCACGACGATATTGATCAATAGGTAAATAAAATAAATCTTTTATACCAAGAATTATTTGTGATATGGATGATAATGGTACAATGCCTTTAATAACATCTGTTGGATGTATATCAGTTAACCATTCATTTAATAAAAATGTTAATAATTTTTCATAACCTAATAAACCTCGTTTATAAGAAATACGCTTTAAATAAATATCAACTTTAGCTAATTGTGCTAAACCAATAAGTAAATTTAAAAATGGGCCCGAATCAAATAATTGTTCATTACGAAGTTTACCACGATAATCAATACGAATATGACAAGCAGGTGAAAATACAAAATGTTTTATAAATACAGTTGAATTCGTTGATGATGATGAAGTATCTCCTGCATTAGTTGTTGTTGTATTTAATATTGGAGATGCTGCATAATGTGATGAAGATGATGTACTAAGATCAGAATCTAATGATGATGATGGATAATCATTATTTACATTTGATTCCGTATTAACTAAACCACAATATAATTATAAATATCTATTCTTTCAGTTCAAGATTTGTTTTTTACCTGGTATAGGTGGTGATATTTCACGAGTATTTGTTGTATTTGTTAAATTAACAAAAAAATTTCTCATAAATACTAATGTATCCTATATAAAAAAGAAAGAATAAGATTAATTTTTCTTTTCGAATTAATTTACTTGATCAATATTAATTCTTAAAGGCTGTAATGATACTTTTATTTCACATTCAAGTGGTTCTGCTGATAAATTTGGATTAATACCATTTTCAAATTCATCATTAAGAGTTTTCATTAAATAACCTTCAGGTTTTGTATTTAAAATTTTAACAACCAACTAAAATAAATAATAAGAAAAAGAGGATATTCTATATGTATATATCATACCATATCAGCATGTGTTCGTCTTGGTGCTGCTTCAGTTGTATATAAATATAAAAATTTATTAATTTCTGATCTTGCTAATAGACGATCACGTATTTCAAATTCATGTATAGCAAATACAAATCTTGATGAAGCTTTTTCTTGTTCATCATAAGTTTCATATTGACATCGTGCTTTACTGATTGAAAATTCCATACTTGTTCGTAAATCTCTACAAGGTCCACCACGTTCATGTCGTGCTAAACGTGTTGTATCATATGAACTATATAAACGACCACCGGCTTTTTCTCTTCAAAAAAAGAAATTCATGAAAAAAGAATATTTTTTTGGGGAATAACATACTGCGTTGGTGATAAAGCTGAAGCTGCATTAAATCGAACAGATTCATTAATATTTAATTGTACCGGTTGTTGATGACTATCATCTAAAAAAATTAGGAAATTACAAAAAAAGTTAGATTAAAAAAAAAGAATTTACTTGGTTTTGGTAATGCAAAATCACTTCCACCATAAATATGCCAGACAATTGAAATTTGTCGAATTGAAAATCTTAATGTTGGAACTGGTAAATGTGCTGGAGCATTAAGAATATCATTTCTTTCTAATGGTTTAGGAAAATGATTTTCATGAATTTGTATTGGAGTTTCACTTAGCACATGAACTTCATATAAACCATTTTCAGGCTAGAAAAATAAAATAAAAATTATAATTTAGTTTTAATTTAATAAGAAAACAAAGACATACTGGTCGACACATTCCAACTTCAGGTTCAATTAATTCAAAATCTCGATTTATTTCACCACTATATGTTACTTGTCGTCCTATAATTGGTAAAGAATCATCATCATCATCGTCATCTTTACCATATGTTGATGAAGAAAATACAGAACCACATTCAACATCTGATGAATGACTATTTAATATAGCATTTTCATTACTATGATATTTAATACCAGATTCATTCATTGAACCTACATAGTAATGAAAGAACTTAATTCATTTTCACAGATTTATAAAAAAAACTAATATCACAATAGAAACTAGAAATGTACAGTTTCAATAAATTGCCCACTGATTCATCAATACTACAAGTATATCGGTATTGAAGTAGACTAATTACATTGATCAGACACTTCAGTATTTACTATAACAGTACTATTCAATGGTCAATCAATCTATACTCATCAACAAAAAATAGTTAGGGTGTTTAATAACTGTATATTCCTTTTATCAATATATATCTTCTTTATATGAATTGTTATTTACCTATTGGTTCATGATAATCGTCCGCCATAGCATCTGCAAGTAATTTTTCTTGATGTGATGTCTAAAAAAATTTCATATTATTCAAAAAAAGCAAAATTTTTAATATTTACATCATCTATTTTTGATTGTTCATTATTAATTGTTTCTTCACTCATCATTCGAACTGGACGATCAATTCGTACTCTTTCAATAGGTGTACTACTTCGACCTGTTTCATGTGTCTGTTGTTGTTGCTGTTGCTGTTGAAGATCACCATGTGTTACAACATATTTTAATAATTCACTCAAAGCATTTGCTGAATCCGAACATGTTCGAATATGTATCATATTACATGCAATACGAATATCAAGTAATGGATCATTCTAAATCAAAGAAAATTTATTATTTATAAATGCAAAAGATTTTTTACCATTGGCATGTTTTCAGTAGGTTCATTAAAGTATAATTTTATTTCAAATGCTCCACCATTGATAACAGATATATAATCATTTAATAAATCAATTTGATGACGATCACGTTTTTGTTTTGATAAATAAATGGCCCAATCTTCGAGATTAATTCTAGCAAAAGAATTTTAATAAAAATAAATAATTAATTAAAAATATATATCTTACTCAATTAATGTTGTTTTGCTGCTTTTAACAATTGTATTTGTTACTGCTAATGAATCAAGAGCAACAAAACATCGTGTATCAGAATATAAGGGTCTGAAAATAAATGAAACCATTTAATCGACAAGTTATCATTTGTATATATCTACTGTTCATTTCAAAATAAAAGACGGATGGGTATTTGTTTAAGAACTTTCAATAGAAACAAGATGGAGAAGCATCTTTACTACAGAAAAATTAAATTATTCCCAAGAGAAACAAATCAAACTTTGTGAAAATATTTTTTTAATGAATTTCCGAGAGTCAAATAATTCGATAAAGAAAATATAATTATTCCACTAATCTAATTTGTTGATAGATTATTATTGTTTCTCGACCTTGAGTTATTCATGGAAAAGAAAATCTTTTTTTCATACCGATAATAAATTGCACAATGACGAAATTCTAAATGCCAATCAACAAGCGTAACTGATGGAATATAACCAGCAACTTCTTCATCAGTGAAATCAAATAATTCCATAAGCTAATAGAAATCATTTCATAAGATAAAAATCGAAGTTATATTTAATTATTTACTTGTAAAAGCCAAATTTCTTCTTTTGGTAGTATTTTTTGATGAAGCATGGCACCTTCAACTGTAAATGATCCACGAATCATTTTCTGTTTTCCTTCACTTCGATCACCAGTTGAACGAATTTCAAATGCTGCACGAACCATTGTACCATTATTATTATATTTTGGAAATGCATCTGATGGTAAACGTGTTAATAATTCTGGTAATGAACGACTAAGAACTTCATGTAATGATATATTAGATTTCATTGCTGTTGCATTTCCTTTATTTAAAAAAATAAATAATAGATAAAGAAAAAGATAGTTTGTTTTTATATTTACCATTATGATAAAGTAATGCTGAATGACTTAATAAACAAAAATATTGAAGATTTACATCACCTTGATATCCATCAACAATTGCAAGTGTTAAACCTTGTCCATCAAAACGAAATTCACCAATATTCGCATTTCTTGCACGAGATTCTCGAGGAATTTTATCACCCTAATTAAAAAATATTATTCATTAATAAATTAGTTTAATATTTTCGTAAAGAAAAGAAAATTAGATAAATTCAGGCGCATTATGGGTTATTCATAACTAAATGATAGTGAAGTGCTCAGAAACTCTCGAAACTGCTCCTAAATTTCTAGAGATTTTATGGAAAAATCTATCTAATTCTGTGGTCGTATCTAAAGGTACAGATTTCGAGAAGCAAAGAAAAGGTGATCTTGTGTCCTCTAATGGCCGAATGTTGCGACACGCCAACATTTCCATCTTTTATTATTCCGATATTTTAGTTGTGTCCATTCTTCTTCACAGTGAAAAGTTTTTTTTTAATTTTCGAATGCTCTAGAGTAATTATCAAAGTGAGCGTTTTGAACTGTGTTAATTCTATATTACCAAATGGTAATATCCGGCTGAAAAGGATTAACTTAAAAAATTTGTAAATTATTACCATAGGTGCATTAGCTGCTACGTGAATATCTTGTACATTAAGATGTAATACAAAACTATGTGGACCTTTTTTCTTTGAACCTCTTGGTGTAAGTCCTCCTTGTTCATCATCATCTTCATCTGAAATAACTTGATCATCATCCGATGAATTACTATTAATTCGTTTAATAATTGATCGACATGTTTGAAATGCTTGTTCATTCGTTGTATTTCCCAATGAATTTATTAATTTTCCACCATAATTTGCTGTGGCATACATTTGATTTAAATTATCATTATTAATTGGTGCTGAACTTTCCCACATAAATAAATTATTTACAAAACTAGAAAAATCAACAGTATATTTAATCAATTCTTTTTTTGAAAATATTTTACCGATTATAAATAGTATCAAGAAAAACTTGATTCGGTATATAAAATAATATATATGGAATAATAATATGTATATTTAATTTTGTTTCTTGACTACACGATGATATAAATTTATGTATTGTATCAGCATCGGCAACTTCAAGTACTTGTCGATTATCATTTAATGTATTTTTATTTTTTAATGGAAGTTTATTATCATTTGTTGGTAAACGACAAAAAATTGAATCAAATAATGTATCGGTCATTACAGGATTTAATTGACTAATTGCAAAATTTTTTAAATCATTTAAATTAATAATTAATCTTAAAAAAATATTTTTTATTTAGATTTTTCTTTTTAGAAAAATAAAATTAATTACTTTATTATTTCACCATTACTCGATGATAGCTGTGCAATATGTGATCGTTCCGAATTAATATTATCCATAAAATAAACTAAATAAATTTCGAAAATAATATTTTCAAAGAGGAAAATAATTCAATACCTTGAATAGATTCACTTGTTATTGTTAATGTTGTTGTTTCATCAATATCAAAATCCGATTGAAAATTAACTTGTTTTAAATCAAATGTTAAAATTTCTTTATGAATTGCTTGGATCCACCATGGTCGACGTTTACTCAATGGTTGTAAATCAGCTATGGGAAATCTATAAACATTAAATAAGCAAAAATATTTAATTGGGAAATTTATTTTATGTCATACCGTAAATTAAGAATACAACCCGGAGAACTTATTGATAACATTGTGAGAGAATTGCTAGAATTTTGATTTGTTGTTGATGAATTCTATAAAAAAGATTAGTTTGCTTTAAAAAAAAACAATATTTAAGTCTTATTTACATTTGTTTGGCATGCATTGATAGTCGAGTAAATTCGATCGATAATTGATACATCAAAATCGATTTGGCATGATGCTAAACGGATATTTACATCACTAAATGGTCTTAATGTTGCAAGACGACGACTAAATGCACTGACAGATTTCTTTTTCTATTTCGGAAAAAATAAAATAATTTTTTTTTGTTTCGTTAATTATGTAAACATACTTTTGTTTCATTAATATCGAAATTTGTGAGAGATATTTGAATCGAGGATTGTATACCATTATATGGAACTTGAAATGATGATAGTGAATCGAAATTTGCTTCATTTGTACGATTAAATGATAATAACTAATTAAAAAAGAAAAAATATATTTGTGAAGAAAATTTAATTCAATCATCAATGCAGGATATCCTCTCAGAGCAAAATGTATGTACGGAAACTCTTCTCACATATAAGTCCTATGAATTACTATCGATAGTTCGTTCATATGTCTAAATCAATTTTTCTATATATTTACTCTATTGAATATCATTTGTTTATTTTCATTCGTTGTTCTTTGTTGTACATTCGTATTTTCCGGTAATAAACATTCACATAAATCTACAGAACTAAATCGTATATCCAATTCTAAACAAAGACAATTTTCTGCTGATTGTTGAATAAAATCAATAATTAATGGTTTTCCAATAAGTCTAAAAACAAAGATTTTATTTTTAAGAATTTATTTATTTCTAAACATACGAAATATGATCTTGTAAACAAGCTTGAGAATATTTTAATCGATGTTCATTTATTTGTCTATCATCAAGCATTCCTGATGTATTGATAGTTGCTATATTTGAAAAATAACTATCAGCAAAATCTTTAAGTGAAGTTGAACTTGTTTCAATATCACGATGAAGTAAACATAAGGAAATAAAATTAAATTGTAAACGACATTTTGTACTAATTATTGATTGACTTTGTTCAAGTAAACGTTTTGTTGTTTCTAAAAGATATTTTAATTTTTAAATAAAACAAAGAAAAACTTCTCGTATTTTACGTTTTAAATGTGCTTTATCAACTGTTGACTGATTTGTTGATGAATTACGATGAGGTGATGAACGACGGCGATGACCTGAATAATAATAAGCAATTCTAGATTAGGAAAAAATAACAAGTGGGTTTAGAATTTACTTGATGTTGAAGCTGAATCTGGATGACTACTTGTATAAGATGATTCAAGATCAATACTTGTTGACATTCCTTTTACAGAACAAAACATAGATTCAGATGGATCTAAAGAAAAAAAAAGAAATTGATTTCATTTATGTTAATATTGTTTATACCTGGTGTTTGTTCAACATCTGAATAATGATAATAATCATTATCATATTGTTGTGAACCCATTTGACAATTTTTCTTACGAATTTCTTCAGCTAAATTTTGTTCAATACGTCGAAAATCATCTTCCGTCATTGGACGATTATTTACAGAGGATGAATTATATAAATTAGAGTCACTTGTTGAATTAAGTGCTGAAGAAAACAAAACAAAACAAAAACTAAAATTTCTATTTTATAAGATATTAAAATTATTTTTACCAGCTTTTTGATATGCAGTAAGAAGAATAATTAATGATTGTAATTGTTTTGGTGTTAATAAACAATTAACTGAACCACAGTGTGCTTCGATTTCCACCTAATATATATTTTTTTTTAAATGGAAATTTTAAATGAAAAAATTTCTTTTACTTTTGGCCCATAGATTTGTTCGGATTGTTTAAGTTTAAGACGAATATCTTGTTTACCCGAAATAGTTAAACATAAAACAGGATCAAATGTTTCATATCCAAACATTCGAGTATTGCCATTTGATGTTGTAGTCATTACTGATGACGAACTATTTGTTAATGCACTTGACGTCATACTATCCTAAATAAATAATAATAATAAAGCTTAATTGAAATTTTTTATTAAAGTTATTCTTACTGCTGTTGAACGATTAGGTAGATTAAGTTCCGATGAATCAGTCATATTTGAAGAATCTTTATGTATAGAAAATTCATCGGTATAAAGTGTAACACCACTTAAAACAAAATTTTTATTTGTAAATACAGTTGGACGCATTATTGAATTCGTATCAGATGCTACTGTCATATCAATACTTGTTGCTTCACTGTCAAAATATTCAAACCTAAAGAACATATATATATTTATTTGATTAATCAAATCAAAAATTATGTTTATTTACTTTTTTATACGAATTTCAAGTGCAACACCATGATCATTATTATCAATTAAATGTTCTAATCGAATAACAGTATCGATTAGTGTTACTTTAACTCGTGCAAGTACTAAAATACAAAAAAATTCAATTATTTAACTTTCGTACTTTGCATACAATAATAAAATTTCGATGTAAATAACGTATAAGGACGAAGATCCAAAACGTTAGCACACAATCTAAGTGTGCTCTAAACTTGGAATTTACGAATGTCTAAGTTTTCACGAAAAACTGTAATTATCTGTTTTTGTTTGTTCTCATAGATATTCTGGACTGTGTTGAGTAGAGTGGTGATACTCAAGAAAAAAAAACACAAAGTTACAAGCTATAATTTGTCGAAAAGCTTCATTTAACTTGACGAGTTATTTACATTATCGAATAAAACAAATAAGGGACAATATAAAAAATGTATCTTACTCGAATCAATTGTTGCTGCGAATGTTTCTAATCCTTGATATGTTGTATCTTCTTCTGTTTCATTTTTCAAACATTCTTGTGCAATAAGCATACTTGTATTCATGCTATTAAACATTGATGATAATTCAAAACTTGCATCTGTTGCATCTTTAAAGAAAAAGAAATATTAGTTTGTTTTTGTTTATCTTATGATTTTAATTCTATACTTTGATCATTGGTTTGTTTTGGTCTTATAGTTATTTCCAAATCTTTAATATCCAGCAGAGAATTATCACGTAATAATGATGTCCATGGTATTAATAGATTTATTTCTCCAACATATGCTTTAACGACTTCGAATGGTATATTATTATTTGTTAATGATTCATTTAAAGCCTAAAGAAAAAGAAAATGAGGTTTTTATTATGACAAAAAAAACAAATGAATTGATGTATTACATTTAAATTTAGAATAACATCTTTAACTTGTCCACGACCGGAAAATAGATCGACTGATAATTGATCAAGTGAAAGTTTTTCTTGAAAAAATACACCTAAATAATGATGTATTAATTGACGACAAGCACGTGTTTTTAATGAATTTGACCATGGTATAAACGATTGCCACGGCATTTTGAAACTAATATGAATCTAAAAATGAAATTGATTTATGTATTTATCTACGAATGAATCCAACAGGAACTGACTGTAGTTTTGATAAATGAACAAATAAAAGAGTAAATAACTGCGACTAAATACATTATGAAATTAATAATAACAAAAACTTCTCTACATCTTCCTGATGAATTTCATCATGTATTTGTGACAGTTATCTACTCTTTTATCTATGAATCATTGTATTATCTTAAAAGATTTTTTGGTCTTTTTCCAACATTATGTCATGTGATAAAGAATTACCTTATATATTATTTTTCTATTACTTTGGAAAAAAATAAATAAATATTTTGTCTATTATCTCTACATTCGATCAATTATAAAAAAAAATCATAAGATATATATTTACGTTGAAAGGATCGACCAGCTGACATTAACATATGATATTAAGCGCGTGCATATCGATTATTAATTGGTTAGTTATTTCTCCAATAAGATTGTATATGTAAACCTTCGTATAATAAATCAAATAAGATAATGTTATTTTCAATGAAAAAATCTTTATAATTTTCTATATAAAATCTCACAAATAAGAATAAGAAATTTGAAAAATAATTTCATTGCTAGGAAAATATTCTCCAATGAAAAACATTTATTTCTTTGTCTCCATTACATGTGTACTTGTCATTGAATCAGGGATTTTCTTCTTCCTCACTTTTTACGTGTTCATTTTTCGTTCTTTCGTCCGCCGCCGACTCGTAGGTAAACGTCAGTCTATAAAAAAAGCAATTAAATATACCTATTTCCTTATTGTAGATTTTTCTTGATCATGCGTTCCCTGCAATCATTAAAAGAAGAGTTACGCGTTCTAGAACAACATTTTCCAAAACGAACAAATGCACCATTTTCAATAATAAGTGCAAGTGTTGATGATATAACAAGTATTTATCGTGATCCCGTTAACCAACGATCAATATCAATTTGTGTAAAATAGAAATTTCATTTTGAAATAAAAACAATAATTTGATTATTTTATTTTTCTAGTGTAAAATTCTTGAAGTACCAAATAAATGTTTATGGTATACTGAAAGTGATAATAATGATGATGTTCAAGAACAATTAACATTACTATTTGATGAATTAAATTCTAATACATCAAATGAATCTCGTAGTGTTACATTACAACTTGAATCAATTATTGAACGTTTAAATACCTTTTTTAAAACATCAAATTTAACATTACCAAGTCATTTAACAAATAATTCAACAAATCGTATTGAACCTGAAGATTCAGGTGTTGATCAAGAAGAAGAAGATGATGATGATGATGAAACCGAACATCAACATAATAATGAACATGATCAATGTTCTCTAGATGATGAAGATAAAACTCAACCAACTGGACAATTAACTGAAGATGTTGATGGTATATCTTTAGAAAATTGGCAATTACTTGAAACATTAAAATATAAACGAATTAATGAATCAGCACAACGAAATCATGAAAAAATCTATGCAAGTACAAATACAAATACAAATACGAATACAAGTACTAATATTATATCAGTAAGAAGAGATGGAGCATCATCATCATCATCATCATCAACATCATCATCATCGTCCGTACAAGCAACTGATCGTTTAATGAAAGAATTAAGAGAGATATTTCGTTCACAATCCTATAAAAAAGGAGATTTTACTATTGAACTTGTTGATGAAAGTCTTTATGAATGGAATGTTAAAGTAAACATTTTCTCTATGAATGAACTAAAGAAAAGTAGAACATAAATCATTTCATTTGTTTATTTAGTTATATCATGTTGATAAAGATAGTAAATTATATACAGATCTTGAAGAAATGAAACTATCAGAGAAAAATTTTGATAAATTAGATCATATTTTATTAAATTTATCGTTTAATGATAATTATCCATTTGCACCTCCATTTGTAAGTATAAATCTATAATATCTCTATACATCAAATGAATTTTTTTTCAAGGTACGTGTTATTCGTCCTATAATTACTGGTGGTCATGTATATTCCGGAGCTATTTGTAAGAATATTTTTAATGAAAACTATATATATATATATAGAAAAAAAACTCTTTAAGGTATGGAATTACTAACTCGACAAGGTTGGTCATCGGCATATAGTGTTGAATCATTGCTTTTTCAAATCGTAGCAACATTGTGCAAAGCAGGTGCACGTATAGATTTAAGTTCATTAAACGAATCATTTTCACTTCATCGAGCACAACAAGCATTTCGTCATATATCAAGTGTACATGAAAAAAGTGGATGGTATACAGCACCAAAGGCTGATGGATAACAGATAATAATTAAAAAAAAAACTTCAGCTTTTTTTTTTCATTCTTTGGACAATTACAAATATTTCCTTATTTCATTTCGTTCCTTTTCTCTTTTTTCTCTTTCTGTGTAAATAAATACTTGTAATTGTCTATGTGGATTATTTTTTTTTTCTCGTCTTCTTCTTCTTTTCTTTTTTTTGGCGGTGTTCGATACTGTGCTCATTGTGTGATCGTTTGTCTCTGTTTATTTGTCGATTGATATATCTATATGAAAGAAAATAAAAAAATAACAAACTTTTTTCTTCTTCCTTTTTTTCTTTATCTTCCAATAACAATTTCTAACTCATTTTTATTAGATAAAAATCAACATTCTGTGATATGTTATTCTGATAGTGTCATGTGGTTATCATCTGATCAATTAAAATAAATTTATTTCTGATGTCTCCTTGTGTTAAACGTAAACCATTGTTTATTCTATTTTTTTTTACACAATTTATTTTATTTTCAACATATACATTTGTCTATTATATAAATAATAATGAAACAAATACATTAAAAATAGATGTTGATCCATTAATTATACCATCAGAATTACATCCTCTTCCAGCTAGTTTACTTGAAGAAGGTGATCGATCAAATTTAAATGAAAATTATAAAAATTTAAGAATTCGAACAAAAAGAAAATTTTTGCATTTAAAAACAAATGAAGATTTAAAATCACTTAATGTTACATCTATCAAAGATATTGATCAATCTCAAACAATTATTCAATGTCCAAGTTTACCTCCAAATTTAGGTAAGTTTTATATAATAAATATATATTTAGAATTCATATTTTTCTAGTTGGTCGAATCTCACCTGATTTATTTTCTTATAATATGGAAGAAATTGAAGAACATCATATGAATTCAAGTATTAAACTTGGCGGTCATTGGTCTCCATCTCATTGTACAGCTCGTCATCGTGTCGCTATTATTATTCCATATCGTAATCGAGATATGCAATTACGTATATTTATTAATTTTATGCATCCATTTTTACAAAAACAACAATTAGATTATCAAATATTTCTTGTCGAACCTGTTAATGATATATCATTTAATCGAGCACTATTATTTAATATTGGTTTTCGTGAAGCAATGAAGATTTACTCTTGGCAATGTTTTATTTTTCATGATGTGGATTTAATACCAGAAGATGATAGAAATATCTATGCATGTCCTGCGGAACCACGTCATATGTCTGTAGCTGTAAATACTTTAGATTATAAGTAAATAGAAATTTCAATGATAAATTTGAAAAAAAAATAAAAAAAATGTTTTTTAGTCTTCCATATCGAACAATATTTGGTGGTGTTTCTGCGTTAACAGTTAAACAGATGGAATCAGTTAATGGATTTTCAAATCAGTTTTTTGGATGGGGTGGAGAAGATGATGGTAAGTTTTATTAATTTTATATGAATGCGGTTTTATTTATTTCGTTTGTAGATATGGCTGGAAGAGTTCTTACTAAATATCGTATATCTCGTTATCCAGCAGCAATTGCTCGTTATAAAATGTTACGACATAAACAAGATACACCTAATTCACATAGATATAGTATATTAGGTTTAAGTACTCCAATGCGTTCCGTTGATGGTCTTTCCAATGTACAATATAAAATAATTGAAATAGAAAGAAAAAAACTATTTACACTTATTAGAGTAACATATAATGAAACATTAATTAAACAAAGTGTTGCACATCTACAAAAGAAAAAACCTAAATCAAAATTAAAAAAAACCTGAAAAATCTCAATAAACCAATATATCCGCTTATATCATTCGAGGTTTAATCTATTTTAAAAATATTTGTTTTTCTTTGTTATAATCTCTTACTTTATACATCTATGTTGCACATCATGTCAGTTATATTACAGATTATTTCTGTCTTTTTTTTTTGAAAAAAAAATAAAAAGAAAACAAATGATAGTCTAGGGGGGAAATTTTGATCAAATCAGCTTTTTTAGAATAAAAAATAAAAACAGAAAAAAAAGATATGGATATCGACGAAAAATTAGCAAATAATAATGGAATACTACAATATGAAAATGAAATTATTTTACAGTCATATCATGAGGATGGATTACTTATATTAGCCAGGTAAAATCATAATAATTGGGTATATATGGTTGATAATATTTATTTATTGAAATATCTAGAGGTCTAGGTTTAGAACGCATATTTTGTGAAATGATGAAATTATATTGTGCTGAACATAATCTTATATTTATAATGGGTTGTACTGATGTTGAACAAACATATTTTATTGAACAATTAATTAATGATGGTATTGATCCACCACCACGTATTGTAACAGCAGATATATCAATACATGATCGAAAAGAACTTTATCTTCATGGTGGACTTTTTTTTGTTACTGCACGGTATTTAATTAAAATTCAAATACCCTTTTTTTTATTCTATAATTATTTAGTATTTTAACTGTTGATTTATTAACTGATCGTATTCCAATTGATTTAATATCTGGTTTATTAATCTATCGTGCTCATCGAATAACAGATTCATCACCTGAATCATTTATAACTCGTTTATATCGTGATAAAAATAAAACTGGTTTTATAAAAGGTTTTAGTGATTCAGCATTAGATTTTTCACGTGGTTATAATCAATTAGAATGTGTGATGAAAAATTTATTTCTTCGTCATGTTTATCTCTATCCAAGATTTCAAGTAACAATTCGTTCAACATTTGAACATTGTTCACCAGATGTTATTGAATTACAAGTACCATTAACAGTACTAATGATGGATATACAAATATCATTAACAGAATTAATCAATGCATGTTTACAAGAACTTCGTTCATCAACAACATGGCTTGATAATGATATATTAACTGTTGATCAAGCAATATTAAATTCATTTGAACGTTTAATACGTTTACAATTACAACCAATATGGAATCAAATAAGTATACGAACAAAACAATTATTAAATGATATAAAAACTCTAAGATTATTCGTACTCTATTTAACACAATATGATTGTGTGACATTTTATAATGCTGTTCAAGCTGTTTTTATTAACGAAAAATTATATGGTTCACGTGGTAAAACTATGAATTCATCTCAAGGATTAACTGGTAGTTGGTTATATTTACCAGCTGCTGAAAGATTATTAATGGCATCGAAATCTCGAGTTTTTGGTGAAACAACCAAACGACAATTTCAACAAACAAATGATAATGAACAACCCCCAGCTAAACTTGAAGAAAATCCTAAATTAAAACTTGTCTCGGATGTACTTCAAGAAATTCGCGAGAATGAAGATAATAAAACTTTAGGACCACCAGTGACATTAATTGTTTGTGCAGAAGATCGAGCATGTTCACAATTGAAACAAGTTTATAAAAAATAGATTATTTAATTCTATATTATATTCATATTTCTAGTATCTTTTACTAGGTGGAAGAGTTATGCTTGAACGTTTATTAGAACAAACTCTTAATCCACCAACAGCAGCAAATGAAACAACGAAAGTACCTGAAACAAAAAAAACAACCGTAAGAATGTATTTCATACTGTCAGAAAATTATCTTTCTTTTGAAATTTTCCAGGGAAAAAAAGCACAAACAGTAAATGAAGAAACAACAAATGAAAATTCGAGTACAGATGATAATAAACTTGACATCGAAGGGGTAAAATGTCATGTATATAATTAGAATTTATTTATAGAAATTTCTTTAGATTGAAGGAGGTTACGTAATTGAAGATGATGATGGATCGACATGTCCATCAACAACAATTCTTTATCCATTTAGTGGAAATATTGATAATCATTTTATTCTTGGAAAAATTTTAATTAAATATCGTCCACGCTTTATTATATTATATGATGCATCATTAACATTTGTTCGACAACTTGAAGTAAGAAAATAATTGAATTAGAAATATTTTCGAAATTATTATTTTTTTGTAGGTTTTTAAAGCAACAAATCCTAACCATCCATTACGTATTTATTTTCTTCTATATGGAAAATCAATTGAAGAACAACGATATTTATTAAGTGTAAAAAAAGAAAAAGAAGCGTTTGAAAATCTTGTTCGAGAAAAAGCTGTATGATTTCACTATTTTTCTTTTTGAAAAAATATTTTTTTTTAATTTCAAGTCTATGGTAATACCTGAAGAACGTGAAGGACGTGATGAATATAATCCATTATTAAGTCGTGATCCAACACCAGCTAATCAACAAGCATATGGAACTGGTGCAGTATCTACCATTGATCAAAGTGATACAAGACGTGGTGGTATAATACCAATGACAACTATTTCAAATATTCGTCCAAAAGTATATCTCGAAAATTATTCTTTTACAAAAATTTGAAATTTTGTTTTTAAGATTATTGTTGATATGCGTGAATTTCGCAGTGAACTGCCATCATTAATTTGGAAACGTGGTATTGATATTGAACCAGTAACACTTGAAGTTGGAGATTATATTTTAACACCTGATGTATGTGTTGAAAGAAAAAGTGTTTCAGATTTAATTGGTTCACTAAATAATGGTCGATTATATCAACAAGCATTACAAATGACAAGATTTTATAAAAAACCAATGTTACTTATTGAATTTGATCAAAAACAAGCATTTCATCTTGCAGTAAAAGAATAACGAAAAAATATATTTTTTTATTTCAGTTTTATTTTCTAATAGAATAAACAACGATATAATTCATCATCAGAATTTAGTGCACATGATATAACCTCGAAACTAGCTTTATTGACAATGCATTTTCCAAAATTAAAAATTCTATGGTGTCCATCACCTCATGCCAGTGCCGAATTATTCGAAGATCTTAAAGTAAGAACTAAAAAGATCTTCAAATTATTTATTTCATTTTCGTTTTTTTAAGAGAGATCGAGAAGAACCAGATTCAAAAAATGCGATGTTAGTAACAGCTGAATCTGAATTACTCGATGAAGATGAACGATATAATTCAGTTGTACAGGTATTTGTTTTTGAAACTGAGAATTCTAAAAATATTTATTTATTTATTTATTTGAAGGATCTTTTAATTCGTATGCCTGGTGTTACATTTAAAAATTATAAATTAATTATGAATAAAGTTGAAAATTTACGTGAATTAAGTCAATTAAAAGAAGATGAATTAGTTACAATTATGGGTAATTCTAAACAGGCATCATTACTCTATAATTTTATTCATAAACAAAAAGGTGATCTTGTTCTTGATATTAAATCAAAGACAACATCAAACAATACTTGGAAAAAACGTCGATAAAAAAACAAATATTCGTTTATAATTTACTTTTTCTATTTCGTCTATATGTATATATAAAACTTATTTTTGTGTGTGTGTGTGTGTTTGATAAAGAAAAATGAAAACATTTCGCGAGAGAAATTCAAACAATAAGAATACAAAGTTATTATTATTTTTAAATAAAGAGAAAGGAAAAGAAAAGAAATAGAAGACTAGAAAAACAAACAAAACAAAGAAATGTGATACGCTTTGGTACATCCTCATCGAGACCTATAACAATAAACAACGACAATTGCCTACTAATTAATGTGTCTAGGTCATACATGCCATCGTCTAATTTATTGATGGTATCCTTATGCTCATAGATTATAGATGAGAAATAAATCTGACAAGTGAAGTGCAGAACTAGGGACGACGAGTTCTTCTTGAACGCCATCGACGAGTTGTTAATGGTATGTTTAAACTATGTGTAGGACTATAAACATGAACATATAAAGATTTCAAAGGTATTGTTGTGGGAGAAAAGGTAAATCTGCGTATTGACCTAACTGTTGTCGTTGTTGTTGTTGTGGTGGTGGTGGTGGTGGTGGTAGTAGTAGTGGTTGTTGTAGTTGTCGTTGTTGTTAGAGAAATTCGAAATCGTTGTCGATAGTCACTTATTAAATTCGGTGTATTATTATTATTTGTTCGATTCGTATTTTTCATTCTCTGTCTTATTGAACTATCTTGCTGATTATTAACTATACGACGTGCAGCAGCTGTTTCCAAAGATATATCAGTATTGATACGAACAAATGCAAGAAAATTTAAATAATTATCATTATCAAATTTTCTTCTCAACCTTGTATGACACATATGTGAAATCGATAAATATCCACGATTTGGATTTTCATAAAAAAGTCGATAAGAATCCCAACGACCAAAATCAATATCAGAACGTTTTGTTTCAAATACACATTGACGTTCATTTCTTTCCAACTAAAATGATAATAATAATAATAAATTTGAATTTATTTTCTTTTTGAACTTACAAGTCCAAATAATTGATTATTTTCACCACAAAGATAACGTTTACTTCCTTTATGTTGTATTAAAAATAGATTAACAGCAATCGGAAGAAATAAAAAGATACCTAGACAAAACAAAATAGATATATAAACATACAACTTGTTTAGATTAATTAATCTTAAAAACTAAATTTAATTATTACTATTATTATTATTCTTATTTTATTATAATTATTCCGAGGCCTTTATATTAAGTAAAAGAGAATGTCTTGTTTGAGTGAGTCATATTTCTGTTTACTTAAAATGATACTTTCCAGGATAGTATGGGTTGTATATGTATGTGTTAATTTCTCACAGTTATATCTACACTTAATGGTAGAACGCGCCAGTCAACAATCTGTAAATAATCGTCATTGATGCAATATATCATCTGTAAAAAAGCGATTCTGTAGCAATGCAAATATACATATATACATAAAGACAACAATAGCGACTAACCCTGGAGGCCACCCTCAACTATTATAAATAAAATGTGTATCTGGTTTAATGAGCGTATCGACAAGTTTTAGATGACATTTTCGATAAAAAATACTTTTGTCCTATATTTCATGATTAATGAGATATTCTAAGAAAGAAAACTACGAATATTCTATTGAATAAACAGAAATAGACATATGCTTTATCAAAAATACACAATAACTAAAGAAAATGAAGTCAAAAAAAAATGATTTATGTATTCTTATATTATATAGGTTAATATTAACTTAAATAACTTAATCATGATTCAAAAAAGAAAAAAAAAGATATAATTAGTTATTTTGTTTTGATTTTATGATAGATGTGTTCTTGTCAATCAAATTATATATGATCAGCAATGAGACATAAAAGAAGAAAAATAGCCGCTTATAAGCATTTACTTTTTATCGATATTTTACATAAGAGATTATTGATACTGAATTATATAACTGAATCACATGCTGCTTTTTATCCTTGAGAATCAAGTGTAGTTAGAAAAAATAATATAACTCAGACAACGAACATTTTTTCGACCTTAATTTATATCTAGATAGGTCGACAAGATTACATTCTTTTTTGACACCGAGAACATTTATCTTCTAGACAGATTAGTTAATTAAATTGGCATATATTTGTTCTTAAATATATGTCGAATTGTCGAAGAAGAATAAAATATAGAATATGATAAGTTATCCTTCAAAAGAGAACCTAATAGATAATAGATAACTAATAGATGATGACAAGAAAAAAGATTCGTCTTCTTAAATCGTCCGACAAGTGTTTGCTTTATATAATAGACATTGAGAACAATTAGCATCCGCATTTTATTTTATCCTAAATATGCCGACAACGAACCAAGGTCGTCATCACATGCGCTAAGTTGCTATGTGTAAATTGACGTAATTATACATATTATCTTTTCGTGTGCATACACACATATATATATATACCTCATGGCCTTTCTACTGTCTTCTGTCCTTGTAGTCTAAATAATATAATAGATTATCATTTTAAATAATTCTTACCATCTTTTGTTTCTTGTGTATCATCTAGATTAGTCACATGTTTAGCATCAACATAACCATCCATGGAACGCATTTGTAATAAACATTGTGTTTTTGATATAATTTTATATGTTGATAAAAGTTTTTGTCTTTCATCATATGTATCACGTTGAGCACGTGAACGTTCAAGAAGTGATGTTAAAAATTTTGTATCAGGCGTAATTGATGCTGATGCTGATGCTGATGATAATGGAGAATGAACAGGATGTCGACGAACATAATGAATATAAGATGGTGAATATACCATATTAGTTGATGAATTTAATTTAAGGAATGTTAAATGGAAGAAAAGAAAAAAAAATAAATGTCGAATAGCGACGAATTGTTGATGTATAAAGATGCCAAACATGGTCTAAATCAACCATGGCGATCCGATATTCGCATGTCAAATATAATGTTATACAATGCTCAAGTGCCAATAGAACAATTATACAATGACTATATTGCTAAGGCTGTATAATAATATCTAAAATAATATATATATATATATTTCATTAGAAAATGAATCAATAATGTGAAATACTACTCGAATTCAACGTAAATGCTATGCGTAAAAATGTAAGTACAAACTTTCTCTTATCAAAAAATATTTGATATATGAGAAATATTTCGAAGATCAAACTATAATTTTTACCTGTGTACACAATAATCAGTTGTACGTACGCACCTTGATCAATTTTGGAGCAATTTAGCTACTGTTAATTTAAAGTTTATCACGACCGACATATAAAACCGCAAAAAATGGAGAATCAAACTGTGCTCACTATGGTCATAATTTCTTTTTTCTATATAATGTTTGCTTTCTAATCAATCTGTAAACGAAACGGGTTTTTTTTCTTCTGTTGTTTAGTGTTCTGATGTTTTTTTTTCTCACTATTCATTCACACACACTCTCAGTCACTTATTCGTCAAAATTGAAACTGGATAAAAGAAAAAAAAAGGAAAAAAATGAAACCGATTACCAACACAATACGAATCGTAGTAGGAGGAGGAGGGGAAGAAGAAGGAGACCGACTGGCACCACGTCGTTGTCCGTGGGTAAAAGGTTAAATAAACGCCTCCTTCTTTCAGACCTAATATATACATATGCATATAGATGTATGCACACACGCGCATATATGCGTTCAGTGTATATTTGAATGCATATATATATATGCCTGGAAGAAAGAAATTATGATAATTGTTGTAACTTACTAAAGCCTTCTAGCTTCGATTATATGGGAATGGTAAAGAGTAGAAAAGAAGAAGAAGAAAAAAATCTATAATGTATATATATTTTTTTGTATGTGCTGGAAGTGACAGAAAAGAAGGGAAAGGAGACAGAGAGAGGGAGAGAGAGAGAGAAAGAGAAGAGGTAATGGATAAAGCTTCTTTTGCTCTCTTATAATACAGTATATCTAGTTGATTTACAACCTCGTTGGATAATACACAACAGCCCTGAACTGCTGTTACAATGATAGGGAAGTCAGTTTATGTAATGAAGAAATAAAGAAAAGAAAAAAGATAAAAAGTCTGTTAACAAGCAACACAAAATATGTATATGTATGAGACGTGTCACTCACTCTATTGATCGACAGCTGTCTAGACCGTTTCTCTATCTTGGTTAAATTTTATACAATAGATTGGAATAAAAATATGTCTTGTAAATTATTCGTCATTGATATACGAATATATAAATATACATGTCAAGAGAAAATATAAAAAAATCTCTTATATATAAAATGAAACCATTAAGATATTTCTATATAATGTCTTTTGATTATGAACGATTATATTTTTTTGTAATTAATGATCATTACAATAACCTGTTTACTGATCGAAAGACACTTCATCTAGATTTTATGTATAGTGTTGTCTCTATGTGCATGTGCATGCACGAAAGGTGCTGCTGTTTGTTGTTGCTATCGTCAACGAGTGACTTCAGCATCCCATTAGGCACATTTTGCGGATGCAAACAGGCATTAGAAACGTTGACAAGGACATATACATGCATACTTCTCGAGACAATCATAGAGATGTATGTTTTCGTACGCAATCCATCCTTTCTCTCTTTCACTCGTTGTTTCTATGTCTTTCAAGTGCTGACAATCAATACAGCAGAATGCGAATTCTTTCGCTGAATACATATGGCATGCGTACATTCGTCTATTTATTTGTAATTTCTTTTTTCAAGAGTTGAAATGGACAGTTATTCGAAGTATTTTTAGTAATGAAGAAAACTATTTTGCTAATTGTTTTTTCTGTCTATATATTTATGCATGATTTCATTTGAGATGCTTTTGATGAAACATTGACCTTTTATCTAATTGAAACTAAGCATATGAATACGTTCGATATTTCTTTATTAATGTTGTATAATGTTCCGTTTTATAAATCGTAAATTGATCATAAACAAACTCATTCCAATGACTCAAATCAATCAAAACAAATACAAAAATAAAAGACATTTTTCTTTTTGTTTTTTTTATTCACGTATATATATATATATATAATAAAAGAAAGATCATTAATAATAATATAGAAGTATATATATATAGGTCATTTCACACAAAATAATTCATTAGTAACTTATCTGATGTCTTTCTACACATAATTGATAAACCGCATATAGAAGTTATTTCGAGTATTAACAAATAATAAATATAACCAACCGAAAATAATTTATTCAAACGTACTTTTTGTATATAATGTCATGTATTCTACTAAGAAACCTCATAAGTTTGAAAGAAATAATAAAGATCAAAAAAAAAGAATTTATTAAATCTATTATACATAAATAAAATATGTAAGATATACATTGAATGTTTTTTTTTGATTTCAAAAATATAAAAATAATAAGTGTATAAAATAAATATTCTCGATTGTATAGATGTTTTTGAAGAACATTTTTTTGTAATAATACTTAAATAATATTTTCAAGATTTGTCATTGCTATGACTGGTGCAGCTTGTTTAGTAAATAGACCACGAGCAATAGCACCACGTTCAATGATTTCTAAATCTGTTTGATGTAAATGAACTTTTGTTCGAGCAATACGTATATAGAATCCAACAGAGAATAATATAAACGGGCAACCAACAATACAAAGTGTTACAATTGCTGATATTGCCGCTGTACGTGAATAACCACTTACTTTGATCCATAAAATAAGGCCAAGTTCAAGTATAAATAAAAATAGCCCTAAACCAGTTGAAACAACCCATGCTATTTCAATAAAAATATCCAATGATGACAAAGTTTTTTTATTTTCACTATTCATCCAAACATCACCTTGACGTATAACACTTTTTAATTCAGGTAATATACACATTGACATAAGTAAAGCAAGTAAATGAACACCGACAAGTAAACATGAAACAACAACATAACATATAAGAAGTGCATCACCAGCATTACGACTTGTATATGCATCGAGTGATAATTCAACAATAGCTACCTTGAAAAAATTAAAAAAACGTTGATTTTTTATTATGTATATATAAGTATACTAACAATAGCAAATCCGCTAAGTAATGCCGATGTTTCATTAACACTTTCAAGTTTTGATTTACGATAGAAAAGATTATGTAATCGTTGGTCATCTTGATGTGATTTTCCTAAATATAAACAAACATTTATAATTAAGTTTATATGAACTTTTAGATCTATCTATCGAAATATAATGAGCACCTTTATTAGATGGTGATATAATATCTTTATGAGAAGCATTACCAACAACACGCGCACAAAAATGCATCTTTTACGCACCTTTACTGGACACATATAATGAAGCATCAGACATCTTTACTTTTGATCTATAGAGTCTTTGATGTGGATCAATAAGATAAGATTAAGCATATAAATCTAACTTGTTGAATTCATTTTCTTCTATAATAATATTCTTCTATTTATTAAACAGAAAATTAATTGTCTTTGACCTATACTAGATATTCTATTGAAGATACAAAGAATGATTTTTTTCCTTCTTTGTTTATATACAAATAAAAAGTCATCTATCATACTTCAAATAGCATGCCATTTCATTATCGTCTGCTTCTTTTTCGCACTTGAGATTCGTCTAAAATAGTAGAATATCAATCACGTGTATTTAAATATTTTAATTAACATATATGAAGAAGATCATTGATCTTTCCGAAGAATAACACTTAGATGATATTTTTTATTAAATTGATTTACAAATGAATCACTTTACAAACGAATGGCTTCTGTATTATAAGATCGAAAACTTTAAAAGGCTTCTGAGAACTGGAAGGATTTCGTTACATTTTGAAGTCTTCAAAAAACATCGAACCATTCCAGATATTTTTGAAGACACGTACAATGTCCGTTGTGTATTATTTTTGAGTCACTACAATCAATAATAATAATAATGTACCTTTAACAAATGGAATTATTTTTGATGTTGTTTTTTCCTTGATATGCTTATAATTGGAATAGAAGAAAAGCGTTTGAAAATATGAATATTTCTCTTAGACTAAGAAATTTATGTTTCATTGCTTATTTCAATTAAAAATGTAAATAGAAATAATTTCTAATCTTGTACAGTTCATTGATTGAATACATTCCGAATAAAAACACAGATATTTTTCTAAATCCTTTTCTTTTATTAATAGTAAATAATCTTACAAATCGACTAGTTCCAAACCGTTCTAAGATTATGAAGCTATATATATTGTCAATAACGATCTGTTCATCATTATAAAAATAAAAGCATATTTATATCAATAATATCATCGAAAACTAAATAAAGGACAATCAACAAAGCATAATATTTGAATATAATTCAGTTTGTTATGAAGTAGGCTATTTCAATAAAATATGCCTTGAGGTGAAAGGCTACCTCAAAACTATTGAAAATGTTTTTCGTACTCAAGTAGTATATGAAAAATTGTCATACAAAAAGGTCATCATCATATTTTTTTGTTATTCTTAATTTAAATAAAAGGATTTACAATCATATAACTATTCATATCTTTGATCAATGTATTCGAGTGAAAACAGGCTACATACTCAATAAACTTACATTAGACAATATAATTGATCTGATATTGACAATACATAGAAGTTAAATTTTATTTTTATGACGTCAATCCAATCATTATTATTTTGAATAGAATAAACAATGATGATATGCAGGTAATAGATGTCGACTCTTACATCTATGAATCATTTTCAAATTTGATGTAATATGTGTAACGTGTCATGTAAAAAGATTATTCAGAATAAATTCATTTCTCATTTTGATGAAAATATTATATTTGTTAAATTTCGTAGTAAATCATTACTAACTATATCTATATGGGTAATACAGAAAGTAATTCTTTATTAAAACCATTAGATATTCATTTATCACCTGGTAATGATGAAATATTTCAACCAGCACCTCTTCCACTAGATTCTGATGGATTTATTATTAGTTTTAATGTTGAACAACAAGAAGAAATATTAACATTTTTTGAAAAACATGGAGTAGTTGTTGTATCGAATGTATTGACTGATGAACAATGTCAACGTAGTGTTGATGAAGTATGGCTTTTTTTACAGGAAATGTATAATCAAAATATTGATCGAAATAAACCAGAAACATGGAGTTTTGGATGGCCTAGTTTTTCAAAAATGGGAATCGTTGGAAATGAACGTTGGTTATATCCTCAAGCATGTGATAATCGACAAAATCCAAATATTTATCAAGTATTTCGAACATTATTAGGTGAAAATGAATTAATTGTAAATATTACTAGAGCTGGATTAATGCGTCCAACAAAAAATATTTTCTTTTCGTCACTCAATAAAACAGAAGATCGAGAAGAATGGAAAACAATCTCAGAATGGCTTCATTTAGATATGAATCCATTAACAGGTCGAGCAACTACTTATGGATTCGAACATGTTGGTGAAGGTCATTTTGATAGTAGTAAGAATCCAGATGCAGCAATAAATAATCCAGTTAATAATGGTATGCGTATTAGAAAATTACAAGGAATATTAGCTTTAGCTGATTGTCGAGAAGAAGATGGTGGTTTTCATGCAGTCCCTGGTTTTCAACATTTTATTGAAACCTGGACGAAACAGAATAAGCAAATATGTATAGATGCAAATGAATCAGGAGATCCAACTACAGTTCAAATTCCACAAGATGATCCTATTCGACAATACATACAACGAATGCCAATTCGTAAAGGGTCTTTACTTGTCTGGGATTCTCGTTTACCACATGGAAATTTTCCAAATAATTCCTCTAGTATGAGAATTGTTCAATATTTACATATGGCACCAGTCAATGATGAAGCAATTCGTTCATTTCCATTATCAAAAGATGATTTACCATCAACATTTCATCTTACTGATTTAGGAAAAAAATTATATGGATTCAAATCATGGGAATCAAATATTGCAAAAAAACGTTTTCGAGAAGAAAGAAATCCACAAGTATTAGAACGTGTTCAATATGAAAGAAATGCAAGAAATGTTATAAAAACTGCCGGATTAACATCACAAAAATAAAGCCTCTTTCTATTTTTTTATGTATAAAATATTTCCGTTGATCTATATAAAAACAAATAAAATAATTTATCTATCTATGTATAATTAATTTATACATTTCTTTTTATTTTTGTTGTGAATTTATATTCACTAAATTTCTTTTATATTTGGTACGGCTGGAGCTGTTGGATTACTTGTAAAAATACCACGAGCAATAGCACCACGTTCAATAGTTTCTAAATCTGTTTGATGTAAATTAACTTTCGCTCTTGCTACACGAAAATAAAATCCAATAGCAAATAATATAAATGGACAACCAACAAGACCAAGTGTAACAATAGCAGCAATAGCAGCTGTTTGAGAAAATCCGCTTACTTTAATCCAAAAAATTAAACAAAGTTCAATAATAAATAAGAATAAACCAAGACCTGTTGAAACAACCCATGCTATTTCAATATAAATATTTAATGATGATAAAGGTTTTGTATTTTCATTATTCATCCAAACATCACTTTGACGTATAACACTTTTTAATTCAGGTAATATACACATGGACATAAGTAAAGCAAGTAAATGAATACCTACTAAAAGACATGATACAATAGCATAACAAATAATAAGTACATCACTAGATTTATGTTCTATATAAGAATCTAATGATAATTCAACAATAGCTACCTTTTAATTAACAATTAAAATAGAAATAAAGCTTAATAAAAATGAAAATAACTTACAATAGCAAATCCACTAAGTAATGCTGATGTTTCATTAACACTTTCAAGTTTTGATTTACGATATAGGAGATTATTTAATCGTTGATCTTCTTTATGTACATTTCCTATAACAAAGAAAATGATGATTATCAAAATTTCTCAAATACATTATTGCTATAACTTCTTTGTGTAGAAAAATGATCAGTCGTAGGAGATATAGTATCTGTATTGAAAGGCATTATTAATATAATATAAATAAAAGATAAACTTTTACTAACCTTTAATAGGATCATACAATGAAGTATTAGACATGCTATTCGTGCTTTATTTTTTTTATCTTTATTGTTCTCAATAGTGCATAATAATTTTATTAATCAAAATTGAAAATAAAACACGAATATTTTACTGATGAAAATTCATTTTTTGTTATTCTAATTCTTTTTGCGTTTTGTTACTTTTCTGATACACGAAAGTAAATAGTCAGATTAGTTTTTTATTATGTAGCATAGCGATATTTAACCTTGCTTGTTCTCTCGTTTTCTTTCTTTTTTTTGCTTATTCGTTCTTTTACGTGTTAGTATTTCGAGCGAAATGTATGTATTATAATAGTTAAATAGGTTTGCGTAGGAAGCGCAAAAGAAATAATAAGTATTTCTTTCTTCTTTTCTATCTATTCTTCTTTTATTTAATGGTAAAAAAACGAGACTCTATATTTCTTTTTTTGAATAAAAGTTATATGTCATCATTGTTCATAGAAAGAATAAATTGTCAATAACGTAATTTCAATGAGAAAAGAAAGAACTAGAATAATAACGTTAAAAATCTAATAAACAAATTGCTCGTGATAATTAAATATTGATTTAATGATCCATATCAATTCTTTTATAATTAGAGATTTTCGAAGATAAAATAAGTGTAAAATTTTTTGCTTCATTAGTCATTCAAATCTGATGAAAATGACATACCAGCTGAATCTGAATTATTTCCATCATCATCATCGTCATCATCGTTGTTTTCCTTTGGATTTACATTCCATTTTTGTCTATTTGATCGTCTAGTACACCACATAATTATTCTTATAAGAATGCCTTTTATTCCTATTTCATTGTTATTTGTCTACAGCTGTTATACTTCATATTTTATTCCCATTAAACATTGTTTTATAAAATTAAATAATTATTGGTATACTTCTTTCGAAGTTAGTACATCCTATTGAAAGCTTGTTTTATGTCTATAGACAATAGGAAATAACCTTTTTATTGCTTATTCTCTTCTTGATTAATCAATGTATGTTTGTACTTTATTTACAATACATTTTTTAAGTAGATTTATTTTTATCATATGGTAATATTCACAGTAGAACGTATAAGATAATATTGATTTTAGATTTCTTGTTATAATTTTCTCTTTAGAATACAAAAAAAAAAGAAGTCGATGAACTAAAGATACAAAATATTGATAAATTATTGCCTGGAGGTATAATGATAGAAATGTTTAAAAGAGCAAAAGGATAATATCAATAGAAAAAATATTAATTTAATTGACACAATTCATGAATAAAAAATTATTGTCATGACAATCAATCAATAAGAATTGACTGTAATCTATCATTAGAGATGCCTTTATAGATAAATATCTTGATATAATACAGAAAGATTCAATGTTTTATAAGTAGTATTCAAGAGTTTTATTATGTGTACAATATAACTTTTACTATTTTATTACTTTGATCAAAATAATCTTATATTAATTATTTTCTAGTATAACTAATTATTCGAAGGGAAAAGAAAATGTTGATATATCTGAGAGTAATTCTATTAAGAAGAAAAAAAGAAAAGCAACACGATCTGACTTGTTTGCAAAATGAATTAGGAAATAATTTTATCAGTTATTAAGAAAATATTCTGCTTATTTCTTCTCACAACATCTAAACTTCTTGACTCTAATTAAACGATCGATTTCTTTTTTCGTCTAACTACTGTTATTTTTCTACAATTGCGAGATAACAAAGTCGGCAAAGAGAGTAGTTTCTAAGATAAAGTATATTCAGTTCACTCTCGTTCGCGTCTGCCTTTTCATCGATCGGCTAACAGACGAGTCAAGAAACAATAAACAATTGCTCGGCTATGAATGCATGCACGATTCGTGCGATCTTGATGATGATGATGCTGATGATGATGAAGAAGAACATTATGATCAATTCTCTTCTTCTGTCATCTTTCTTGTTCTCTTACACGCACTCTATTTTATCTTCTTCAAGAAGGTTGGATTGTATAAAAAAAAAAAAAGAAAAAGAAGGAAGAACCTTCTGCTTTCTACTGCTCTGTCTTATACGCCTTGTTTTTTGTATTCCGTTTCCTTTGCTTCTCTGTCTCTCCCTCTCTCTCTCTCTCTCTCTCTCTCGTCTTACTGTCGGTTTTTTTCAAATCACTCTTCATTGCTTTGCTTATCGCGCATGCACACATACGACTTCAAACATAGTATGCAAAGGCAAACACCAACAACGATCAAGTCAAACACGTACACTGAGTACACAATGTAATCATTTCCGTCAACCAGGGGTACAATTATAATCGTAACTAGAACTCGTCGTTTTCGTCATTGATTGCTAGTTGGATGTATGTGCGTGTATTTTTGTCTTTTCTCAGTAACGGTTAGACACAATATAAAATTTTTATCATGAGCCACTTTGCACGACAATCAACACTTAAAACCAAATTTGCATCATCTTTTATTTCCAGAACACGTAAATTTGTGCGTGAAGGTCTTAAAGGTAAGCTTAAATATATATAACTGTTACAGAAATGCTCAACATAGTCATATAATTAATCTAAAAATAGTTAAACATGAAAAGAAGGTAATGCGTACTTATCGATAGATATATGAATAATAGTCATTTTGTATTGTAAGAAGAAAAATAAAAAGATTTAATAGAAAAATGATAAGGGTTAAAAGAATAGTTATTTAATACTCATTAATAATGAAATATTTTTTAAATATGTATGGTTATACTAACGAATTATAGTTTTCTTTTGATGAAGATCTGATTTATATGATAACTACTATCTCGATATTTTGTCAAATAATGACAATAAAAGCTGTTTATAAATAATGTATTGTAATCAACCGATACATATATATGTATTTAACATGATTTTAAGATACTTTATTTCATTTTTTCGATAAATACATTGACAGATATCTATATAATATAATGAACAGCTGTTGAATATGTATCGATACCAGATTCAAGTAATATTACGCATGAGAAAATAATCAGATATCGATAAACGGTAACAGTTGTCCTATAAGAAGGAAAGACGATGCCAACATTAATAAATATAAGTAGGCATATCTTTACATACTATACGAATATGGTTCATTGCTTTTATATGTATATATATATAGCAATATGATGGAAAGACAATATGTCAGTCGTTGTCTTTTAATTGTAAGAAAATGCTAGACTCTTTATATTTCCTACAACGGAAGTAGTACTTGTTTTTTTCTATAGAGAAGTTTTGTCTTCATTGATTAATATAAATGGTAATATGTCAGATGAACAATATACTTGTCTATATATGATATGAAACTATACGTAACTATTATTTTGTTCATACTCTCTCTCTCTTTTGAGGTAATGTCATTTTTATGATCATTATATACATGCAATATACAAAGATTAAATTGAGCAAAATAACTAGAATAACTTCCTTTATTCTTCTCATTTTTTTCTTCTTCTCTTTGTGTATGCCTTTCGTGCAAATGTATATTGTGGAAAAAAAGGGAAAAATCCTCGAACACGATATTATATATTTATGAAGTGAAGAATAGGTGAATGATTCTAATAGGAATTGTGCTTCATTAATCGTTCTAATTGACCTATTTTTTTCTTAATGGGCGTCTGTTACTTATTAGATGTCTCTCTGATTCAAATTCACGTTAACCATCAAATATGAGATACACAAAACATAACAATAACAAGAGGTATATTAACCGTTTTCTCAGTCTCTCTTTTTCTCCTCATTTTCTTTCGCTTACTTACAGTCTTTAGCATGTTGTTTTCATCGTCAATATTCTCATAATAGGTCTTTTCCCCGATCGAAGTCATTCAGATTGATCTAGATATCCTATAGTTTTATTCAAATAGAGAAAAATATGAGATATTTCATACCGATGATTATCTAAATATGTTAGATATTATTCTTCTATAGAATATATATATATGTCAACGTCCATATTCAGATCTGTCCAATCTGAGATGGGTCGAGATTAAATTTAGATTATCTAAAAGCAAAATTAATCCAAGATGGGACGTATATCCAAGTATGGACATTGACAGACATATATATGTCTAAATAATAAACAATATTTGTTAAGTTATACATAAATAATTATTCCACATTTTTTATGTCACTGGTATTAAGCATTGGCATTTAAAAAATGAGATAATAATAATAATAAATCAGCAAAAGCCAGAGAGAGAGAGAAATAAATAGTAGAGAAAAAAGAATGGTCTAAGAATCATACATTCTTCAGTATTTCCAAGGGTTATTTAGTATTAAATCATGCAAATAACTATTCCATGTCGATCATTTGATCAGAAGTCAAATTATCGAAGTGAGAAGACGAGTTTCTTGAATATTCAATGACAGTTATTCTAAATAATTCTTCGGAGTTATTTTCATCATTAAATATTTGACAAACGAAAGATTTTCTTTACTCAAATCTTCTGTACATTAACACGTGGTTAGTGGGTTTATTTTTTTTGTAGATTTTTGTTTTGTTTTTTTTTTAAAATATTCTTATATATTGTATATAGAAACATTTGAGACGTATGAGTTTTGTATATTTGTATAAATGACATGTGGTGGTGCGTATATGATGTTGATATCCTGCATCTATCTTACCAAATCCAATCATCTCGACAAAGAATACAAATACTAAGAAGATCCTGGAGCATTTACAGATATTGTCACCTTCAAAAATATTGAGTGTGTTTTTCTTTGTCTTTCTTGGTCTTCCTATTGTCAATAATATTTTAACGACAATATATATATATTATGGGTGTTGCTATGGTAATCAGTGCACGATTTGGTGGTGGAAGTAAGTTTACTTTTTAATATTAATAAAAAAAGAAAAGAAACTGTCTGCGTGTATATTTAAAATAAAAATAAAGAAACTCGATTATTGTAATAGGAAAAAGAAAGATAATGATGTTTGAACACGCACATACTTTATCCGGAAATATTTTTTGTCGTCATATCAAGTGTTCAGAATGCTTATCGATTATGTCGATGTTAAATAAGAAAAATCCTCGATTAAAATACAAGAGATTTATTAAATATGCTATCCTTAGGATATGTTTGATATTAAATTATCAAACGCATATTGACCTTTAGTTTATTTTAATAGTTCTTCTGACATTTATGATTCATTATCGTTTATAAAATCAACATCTTTTTTTTCTTAATTAAATATAAAACTATTCAAGATCTTTTGTTTTTTTTCTTTTTCCCTTAGTTTCTTTTTATAAAGTTTGTCTTGACGGCAAGAAGAACAGAAGAAAAAAACGTTAGTCTATATGATTAATTTATAATTTAAAGAAAAGAAATCAAATTTTTTTTTCCCAATAGGAAAAGAAAACTAGATATTTATTTTTATAAATAAGATTTAACCTTTTATATATAGATTAACTATCAAAAGATATATATGTTACTTTTTAATACGCTTTTGAATAATTCATCATAACACTATTTGTAGACAAATAGATTTGATTGGAAGATAAAAAATAAAGATGGTTTTTAATTAAATCAATTCTTGCTTCTTCTTTTTATGTAATATAACTACTTTAAAAGAAAAAATATTTAATAGACATTTGTATGTTAATGTCTTTTATCCAGAAATAACGATATTTTCCTTAATGTGTTTGCATGTTTATAGAAATGAAATTGATTAATTGTTCGATGCTGGTTAAAAATAATATTCTATATATATATAATATAGATGTCAATCTATCCATTAACTTGAATGATTCTTTTATATGTCAATTTCTTGCAAGAAATCTAGTTTTCTGCTAGAAAAAAATGTCAATATTTCATTTACGGAGTGGCAAGTTTCTTTTTTTTTGTTTGCTTAGAAAAAACATATCACAATGATGTATTTTTATATTGACATAACAAGGCTGTTCTTCTTTTCTTATAAAAAATTTGTCCCTTTTGGCGGCAGTTCGATTGCAAAGTTGTTTATCTGTCAATTGTGTTAACCGAATTATTTTATATACTTGACAAGTAGCAATAAAAATAATGATCATATATCCCTGTCTTAAAAAAAGTATCTTAATCATCATATATCTTTATGTTGATTTATCTTTATTAATACATAAAGACGATTTCATCACTTTAATTTATCATTCTATCAACAATATAATAATACTAATAATGCGCACAATTGTTTTTCGATGACATTTGATAGAGTAGAATGCATACATATATATATATCACTGTCAAGTCAGATTCTGACACCTACCAGCCAATACAAAGTTTCATGTATTTTCTCTCTCGTTTTTTTTCTTGTTAGCATACATAACACATTCTATATGAGTCTCATCAACCATTAATCTTTTTATAGTTAAGAGCGAACGAACAAGATAGAAAAGCGTGAATAGAAAAGATGCGCAACTATGAACAATAATGAAAAAGCGAGAAGAATTTTTTGCATCTGACAAAAAAATCTATTTACTGTTTGATGTCCCCCTCATTCGTCCGGAAGATAACAAAGAAGAATTTGTAAGATGATGATGATGAAGAAGAAGAAGGAGACAACGACGACGACGAAGAAAAAAATGAGGAAAAGGGAATTGAATAAGAAGAAGATCTTTTACTATACTTGATACATTGACACATCGTCGTCTGTCACTTCTATCGTCATTATTTTTTATTGAACATACTCAGTTTAGTTTATTCAAACATTTACTGTCATCGGAATGATTCTTGAGATTGAACATTTTTTTTCACTTTTCTTTTGCTTATTCTTCATCATTTTTTATTTTCTTGTTAACGTAGAATTGCATATACAAATCAAGAGAGAAAGGCAGAGAGAGAGAGAAACGACGCTTTTTGTTTAAGGCAAAAAAGACACTCAAAATGTCATTTTCTCCATCTCTTCTCTATGTCTCGAGAAAGACAAACGTTTCTTTCATGGACGACAACGACGACAACAACAACATAGCATTTCTATTCTCGCCTTTTCTTAACTATCATCAATACCCAGACCACCCATATTCGTCTAAAATCTTCTTCTTCGTCTTTTCTCCTCTTCATTTTCGTACAATGTGCTATGAATAATTGATTATCAGCGAGTATAACATACTTTCCTATCTAGAAAAGACATTTATTTTAGATATAAAAGATAAAAAAAGAATAAGAAAAAGAACAGAGAAAAGAAAACAAAAGAAAAAAAAATGGCACAATCATTATTTTGATCTATAGGAGAAAGGGCCAATTAGATATTAGTTCTTATTATATATATACATATATATTTATCTATCCAATTCTTCGGAATGATGTTCTCTTGTTATTTACTATTGTAAAAGTCATATGGATGATCGACAATGGACGATTATTCTTCGTCCGTCTGCTGTAAGTTAATTTTCTTTACTTTTCATGTGTATTTACACTAAATTCTTTTATTAATTAGCGATCCTTTGAGATTTCGAAATGTACGTGTTATAGAATAAAACGATAATTTAGCGCGTGACTAAATCTTTTCATAATCATATATATATGTCTTACTAGAAAACACCGGAAATGAAAGTAAATTTTAAAAAAAAGTCGTTAAGTAACATACACATTACAAATATTTTACGCATTTATTATAATAATAAAGCAGAATATATAGTTTTTCTCTTAAGTGCACAGTAGTATATATTTGGCACCATTTGGAAAAATTATTCCCAAATGGCATATATATTTATCTTTCGAATAAAGAAATGATATAAATACGCATATTGTCGCTAATGTAAACATAATAAAGTGATTATTATAAAAAAGAAAAGAAGCTGATCAAACTAATTTGTTCTTGTTTTTTATGTATTATGAAATAAGAATGAGAGCAAAAGAAAATAATACTGACATTATCCATGAAATGAATTTAGGATAATGACATAAAAAAAAGAAATAACATTATAGATTTAGTTTTTATAAATATTATTGTATATAAAACGATAATGGTTTTAATGATAAGAGAAATACTAAAGCTGAATTAGCGAATTTTTGCTCTATTCACGTTTTTTTAGTCATAATATCTATATGTCTAATGAACAGATGGTGATTGTAAATACAATAATATTGTAATCAGCAGATGTTCTCATTTTCTAAAAAGTATTTAATATTAAAAATATTATTCACGAGAAATAAAAATGGCAAAACGATTGTTTAGGAGACTAGGAAAATGTAAGATAGAAGACAAAAAAAACAATTAATTTTTGAAGATATAATAAAAATAAAATAAAATCTTGATATTTAGACACCGATTTTGATGATGAAGGGTTAGAAACAATAAAACGTTATAAACCACGAAGTCTTGAAGAATTAGCTAATCGAACAAAATTTAGTAAAAAAGAAATTCAACTTATATATCAAGGATTTAAACAAGAATGTCCATCAGGTATGAATTATTTTTGTTTTCTTTTCAAATAACAAAAAAAGAATTATGTTTTATTTCTGAAAGGTATTGTGAATGAACAAACATTTAAACATATTTATGGACAATTTTTCCCATTTGCTGATACATCATCATATGCCCATCTTATTTTTGGTACATTTGATTTACGTTCATCGGGTTGTGTTACATTTGAAGATTTTCTTGTTTGTTTATCAACATTATGTCGTGGATCATTGGAAGATCGACTTCGATGGATATTTCAATTATATGATACGAAAAAATCTGGAAAATTAACACAAGATGTAATTTATTAATTTTTTACAAAAAGGATTTTATCTGATTTTTTTTTTATAGGATTTTCATCTTATTGTTTGTGCTGTTTATTCCTTACTTGGAAATGTCTCAAGTCCACGTTATGATCTTGAAACAATTCGAGAACATACAGTTACTGTCTTTCAACGATTTGACAAATTACATCAAGGATACATAACAATTCAAGATTTTATGTCGTTTTGTCTAAATGTAAAAAAAAAGATTTTAGTTTGCAAAAAAAAAGAAACATTCACATTTTTTTTTCTAATCTTTAGGAACCAACAATAGTTCAATCGATTGATGGCTTGAGAACAACTGTATGAAAAATCATCGATTTTTATTCAATATTCATTCCGTCATCGATATGTGCTTTTCTTCTATTTCGTTGTCATTATTGTATTGAAAATCTTCTATATAAAAACAAAAAAATATTCTTCCTCTTTTTTTTTAATATTGTGTATACAGAACTGAAAGATTAATTTAGTTACTAATGACTAATACTAATTAATAGATGAATCATATTAAAAAAATTTTCAGCATGACAGGTGTGTTTATGAGTATCTATTTTTCTTTGCGTTTGTTTTTTACTTTGAGTTGAAACAGTTGTCGATTTATTTTCCTTGTTGATAAAAATAAAATAAAATGAATTTTGTTTATGATCAATCGTCAACAATTTCTATTTATCATAATTCGATATTTTCACTTGCCGATGTTGAATCCGTATTAGAACCTTTATTTGGAAATTATTATGGTAAAGAAAAATTAGCTGCGATCATTTCAAGTGTTGATCATATATGGTGTGTTTATGATAGAAGAATAAATCAATATGTTGCTTGTGCACTTGTACAAAGTCATAATGAAAAAGATGTGCTCTATATAAAATTGTTTGGTGTTGCCATATCTAGTCAAGGTCAAGGTATCGGTACACGTTTGCTCAAGGCAATCAAAAAATGGGCACGACAAGCAAATTATTTTGCTGTTATTTTACATACACAAATCAATAATGATAAAGCAATTGGTTTATATGAAAAACTTGGATTTGAAAAACAATATCTATTTAAAGATTTTTTTCGACCTCGTGAAATTCCTTTATCACTTTATATTCATGAACCAGACGCATATCAAATGATTTTATATTTACAATAATAAAAATAGCACAAGAAAACAATTCTTTTTTTTCCTATTTATAATAAATATAATCCTATATGCTACATATGACCTTAGGATTAAATGATGCAAAAATAATAACGCATATCTTGATTGTTATGTTAAATGTGCGGAAAATTTTTCAATGGAATAATTTCATAAGAAAATAGAGCATATAAATCGAATGACTTGAAAATTTTTAATTAAATATATTTCTATTAAAATAGTAAAGTTTCATATGGTTATTTTTGGTTTATTATGTTAAAATTACCTTGAATCGAAAGAATGAGTCAGAGGAGTTTATTGATGCGTAACTAACTTCTATTTATCATAAATATAAACATATTTATATTTATTTATATTTGGTAAAGAGATAAATATGGATACACCAGTATTATTAATAATTAATATAAAATCTTCATTAAATTCCACAGGTATTCGTTCGATAGTTTTAAAAGAATATTTTTCTCAATTAACATCAAATGTTGAAGTACTTTATCCAACACAAATTCTTAGTGGTCTTTTATTATGTAAATCAAGACGAAGTAAATCGTAAAGTATTGTTTAATTTTTTCAAAAATAAAATTTTCAAATTTTGATATTAGCGGAAGAAAAAATTTTAAATATGCGTCATACGCTTTCCAATGGATCAATAATTCACTTATCTCATTTACCTACTCAATTATTTCAACAAACAAAATGCACTATAGATTCACAAATAAAAGGACTAGTAACATATCTTCAACAATGTTTACCATTTTTATATGCATCTGGTTAGAATTAAATTTATTTTTCTATTTAACAAAATATTGTATTTCATAGGTGGAAAAATTCAAATAAATTCTGATGGATCAATTTTATTAGAAGGTCATATATATGTTCTAAATTCAATTCATTCATATCTTGCACATAAAACATCGAAATCTCATCAATCAAATCCATCTGAACCACTTGATTTACGTAGTGGAAATTTAACTGTTAAAATAATGAATGGGAAATTATTAGAACAAAATGTTGACAGTATTATGTAGGTTGAAATCTTTATTCATACAGAGCTTTCATTTAATATTTTACATTGAAAGAATTCCTATAAGTGATAAATATAAAGTTCATAAATCTATTGATCGACAAATACAATCATTTGGTGGGATAAATCTTTCAAATTATTTTAAAGATTTAACAACAAAAGGTACACGGATTCGCGAAGGAAACGTAAGTTTTAAATTAAAATTATATAATAAAAAACCAAATTTCTTAGTAGAGTATTATATATCCAAATCGTGATTTGAAAATTCCTGCAAAAACATTAATTATTTTTGTTGTTCCACGTATATCGAATAAAGATAAATCAACAATAAATTCTTATCAGCCAGCCTATGAACAATTCATTTATCGTATGTTACAAACAGTTGATCAAAATTCAATTACAAGTCTTGCAATGCCTGTTCTTGAACCAAGTGGTAAATAAACTCTTCTCTAAAAGGAACATTTTTTGAAAATTTTCTTTTAGTTAAGACTGCTCACGAAAGACGTCCTGCTAATGAAATGACTGTTCGTGCAATGGTTAGTGCTTTCCGACAATTTTCTCAAAATCCTTTAATTAAATTAAAACGTATTATTGTTGTTGACCATCAAGTACAAATCAAACGAATAAATAAACGTGTTAAAACATATCAAAATCAAAATCAAATTCAAACAAAATCTACAAATAATAATAACATTGATTTTGATAAAGATGATGGACATTCATTTGATAATATATTTGGTGTACCAAAATCACATGAAAATGTATCAAGTAGTAGTGAAAGTGATGATGATGTAGAAGGAGAAGAATATCAACTTCCTTATACAGATCATGCTAAATCTTAATGTGTATTTTGTTTAGAATTTTTTCTAATAAAAACTTTGAGATATTTTATATTGTTTCCGGATTTTTGAAGGTGTCAAGTTACTTTAATGCGATTATATATCCTCACCATACAGGAAATCGACGATAGGAAGGAGAGATGAATTTCAGTTTTGTATCTCAATCTTTATGAATCATCTTCTGTCTTAATTGAATAATCTGAACTTTAGATAAATGTTGTGAATCTTGAGGATTTTATTAAATCGGATATGTTAATAGCATAGTTAAATCAACCCATTGATGCATAACTAAGATAATCAGGATATAAAATTATATACTATTAGTAAAGTGTGAAAAAATGCTTGGATACATTGTGGTTTAATAACTCAAATGAATTCGTTGTAGATTCTCTGACTTGTGGTTCTCCCGACTTCCACAATCGATCCTGTTTATTGCATTATAGATGACAGTGAACAAAGATAAACTATTCATACATGGAATTTTGCATAGGTAATAACAAACGGGAAGGAAACATCACCTGTGGAATCTTGATAAGGGAATAATTCATATGTGTGCTGACAGAAAAGATTCATGATATATCAGTTTCACTTAATCTGAAATGAATACTTTAAAAACATCAATATAAACTATATCTATTGAAATATGTTCTATATTTCTCTTCAGAATTATCGAATAAAGCTGCATCACTTCTTTGTCCTGTAATTTATAAATTCGTATATGACATACTATTTGCTTGACAATTTTACTGTTGAAAATGCAATAAAAAAATATAATTTTATGTGACATGGTTTACAATTGGTTGTAAAGAATAAATTTTATTTTTTCTGTCGATATATGACATGATATTTGAAAACATAAATCAGATTCAATAAAAGAGATCTAAGGAAACATTCTTAGTCGTATTATATATACAGTAAATTTAGCTTCGTAATGCTTGTAAACGTTTTTCCATTTCATCTTCTTCACTATCATCACTCACTGCTGCTGCACTTGCTGCTCCTTTTTCTCCCATTGCCGTTCCTCCAACAGCAACACTTGGTAATTGACCCACTTTACCTTTAAAAAAAAGTATAACAAAATATATTAAAAATCTTTTACTCGTTCTTCTCTTACCAGAAAGAACTTCATCTAAAACTTTAGCAATTTCTTCATCAGTTTCTTCTTCAAGATCATTATTATCCGTGGCTGCATCAACAGCTTCATTCATCATTTCACCCATAATACCCATCTAAAAAAAAACACATCAAAATCTTTTCAATTAATTCATTTGAAAAATAAACCCTATACTTTAATTAATTCTTTTGAAAATTGTGCTGATATTGCTTGAAATTGTCCAACTTTCATTAATTGTGCCATTGAACGTGCAACTTCATTACTTTTTTGCATTATACCAGTTATTTTAATATTTGCTATTTGTAAAATAATCTTTATATTAATCATAAGAAGAAAAAATTTAAAATACCTAATTGATTTTTAACAGCATTATCAATTGTATCGAGATTTGCTTTTGCTGAATATAAATGACTTTTATCATGTTTTATTCTTGAAGAAAAAATAATTTCATTTTTGTTAGAATATAAAAAAAGACTTACTTAACAATCGTTTTTGCTAATGTACGAAGAGCGTCTTTATTATTAGTTGCTGCATGTTTGCGAATATCAACTGAAAGACGTTGAATTTCACGATCAGATTCTTAATACAAAAAATAATAAATATATGTTTTTGTTTTGTTTTTTTATATAGATAAAATAATTACGATTAATTTGTCGATCAAGTTGTCGTTTTTCTTGACGAATTTGTCTACTTATTGAACGAGTCTAATATTTGTATTAAAATATAATAGCATTATTTTGTGAAAATAAGAATAAACAGACTTGTTCTTTTGCTTTTTCATAAGGACTTCGTTTATCAAAAAAACTCATGATTAACTAGAAAAAGAAATAAATAATAATGAAAAAAGAGCAAATTCTTAATCTTTTATGTGATTGATTTCTTATTTCTATTGGTTACATAAAAACCAATGAAAATAATTATTACTAATCCTAATAAAATACAAAAAAAAGAATTTTTTCCTAATTATTTTTTTAAAATATAAGAATTTATTTTTCGACATCATTAACAAGAGAATTGATCTAACTGAACACATATAGTGAAATAAGAAGATGAACAAAAGAAAAACGATGAATTCTATATGTGTGCCGTATATGCCATCTATACGACAGCTCCTTTGTCTACTCACATGCCGCGGTACATGTGATGAACATAAAGATGCTGACATGCGTACGGAGGTTGACGTCTGTGGCGACAAACGCATACCAAGCGTGACATGCTTCATTACGTACGTTCGCTTTTTAACAACCTTTGCTATTGGATGACTTTTCATCCTACAATCAACATAATATTCACATGTGAGCTCTGAACGACTAATAAAAGGTTCTATGTGTAAAATACACAAACAAAACAATTGAAAGACTTATAATCAAAGTATTTGTTTAGAAATTAGTATATGAATAATTCTAGACGTTTTAAGTATACTTGATCTAAATAAAATTCATCTGCAGAGAAAATACTGGGTTGATAAACTAATTAAAACGTTATAATTACATATTTTTTTATTTCGCTGTGTTATATCTGGCTCTTCTTTATTAATCGTAAAATAATTTAGTGAAATTTATTTAAATAAGACTAAAAGTTTTATTATCGTACGTTCTTTACTATTTGTTAGCTCATACAAATAGTCCAATAACAAAAGAGGAGAATGTCATCCTTCGTACGCGTGATATCATGCATATCAACGCAGCTTTTGAATAGACTAACATTGATTGTAGCGCTTGATATTCTCATCATTTAAATGATTCACATAAAATGTTTGAAATTATCGTTTTTATTTATTATAAAATATATCAATAAGAAAATCTTGTCTACTTAATTAATTAATTAAATAAATAAACTAAAGGATGAATAAAAATTCTGTTTCAACTTCTCTTGAATCATCTTCGTCATTATCTTATCTCATCATTTTCTATTTCTTACAGGTCTTTTCTTTTTCGTCATTCTCATCTTCTAAACACCAAAAAAAAGATAACTTGTTTCTACTTCTAGTGTTTTAGATTTGCTTGATCATATATTATTATACAGATCAAAATACACCATGTTAGACTCAATCCAAGCATCTATTCTATTTATTGTAATATTCCTTGTTCAAGGTGTTGCAGCGGCCATGGGTGCAATGGATGTTATTGCACTTATTCTTGGATTAGCTCTTCTAATATTTGGAATATGTGCACTCATTGGTTTTTATGCTCGAAAACGTTCGGGTTAAAAAAAAATAAACTGTGTTTTGATTTCATTGACTTCATACAAAACTTTTTTCAAAAATGTTATACCGCTTTTTTTTCTTCTTATTTATTTATATTTTAATAGAAAACAAATGTGAATAAAAAGAACAAGTGATTTTTTTTATATCTGTGATAATTGTTGTAGTATTTATTATGTCTTTATCAGCATCATCAACACGACAAAGACATACTATTTTGGGTGGTGGAACACGATATGAAATAGCTGAACTTGTTTTATCAACAATACCGAATTTTGAATTGAAACAAAAAGATCGTATTCTTCATTTGTTTACAGAGGTAAGGATACACATATAAAATATCAAATGGATATAAAGCATTTTATTTATTAATAAGAATGAAAGAGATTTTAAAAAAAGCCTCTATAAGGCTTCTGAGTTTTGTTTGGTATCGGCAGATCTAGTAATGATTTTATTTGGATTATAAAACGATTAAAAAAAATCTCGAGAAGCTTGATAGAGAAAAAAAAAACATATATGCCTTTATGCAAGAAATTCAAGAAGCACTTGATGACCAACAAAATAATATTGATAGTCTTCTTGTTCATAATCAAGTTAATATACCTGCAGAAGAACCATTTGCATTTGAATCACAAATTGATACGGATACATATCCAGTTGATTTATCTTCAAGATCAACAAATGAATCATTGTTACAAGTACCAAATGAATTAGATAATACTATATCAAATGTAACTACACCATCGTTAACTGCTCCAAATCAAAAAGAAAAATCGAAAAAAGATTTAAATAATATAAAAAAAGAACTTCGAACACCAGTAAAATAAACTTTTTTGATTCTAAAACTTTTTTGTTATTAATGTTTTTTTTGTGCCAGTCAAAAACCAAACGACGTCAACCAAAAACCTCATCAAATTCCAAGCAAACAAATTCATCAATGCGTCAATTGACCATGACACAATTATTTGATTCGTTTGAATCACCTAAATCAACAGTAAATTCAACTCCTATTAAACAAGAACCAGAAACACAAGCCGATGATACAGTAATATTCATGCCGGAATCAATTATAGGTTTAGCTCAACCATCATCATCGACATCTGATGATGAAAATGATCAAGTAAAATATATTTTTTAATTTTCTAAATTATTTAAAAAAAAATTCATTTCAGAATAATTTATCATATTCAATATTTTATGGCAAAGAACCGAGACTATCTAATATACAACCATTGAAACGTAAAACAATTTCTTCACCTAATATTAATGAACAAGTAACAAATGAAGATGAAAATACTCAAAATGAAGGTATTTTAGAAACTCCTTATTCTGGTATTGAAAGTGAAGAATTATTATATGCATGTCCAATGTGTCGAAATTATTGGCTTGGTTTACCTAAAGAACTTCGTCATAAAGAAGGTTTAACATGTCGTCATCGGCAACGACCTGTTGTTCGGTCGCCAGAACATTTTTGGTCTTTAGGTATGCCAAGTACACAAACATGTATTGAACGTGGTTATGGTGGTGTACTTCCACCTGATAAACCAATTGAAAGGCCTCGACGTCCAAGGCGTCAACATCAACGAAAATTACAAGAACAACAACAACCTCAACAGGAAGATAGTGATGAAGATTAAAGCAAAAATGTTTTGACTTTTTTGATATTTATCATCATCTAGTTTTTTTGTCCCTTATTCATTTAACACATATATATCATAAAAACTAAAAGTATTTTTTGAATCATGAATATTTTTCTGTTTTATATTATTTGTATAATTTTTGCATATATCAAAAGTTAGATTTCAATATGAAAAACTTAATAAATGAAGACTATTACGTATATATTCTATTATTAAAACACAAAACTATACATATATTTTATTAATTAAATAAAATTTAATCGACACAATTTCTTACACGAATTATTTTGTTTCACATAACATATTCATTATGTGCTACTTCATTATGAAAATCATCATCGTCTATTGTATGTAATGATGTATAAGCTCGTAAATCTAAAATAACTGGTAAATTTTCTGCAACTATTGAATGATGAACAATCAATGAATTTAATGTTGGAAAAACTTTCACTGTGCCCTTAAATAGAAAGTTCAAATTCGATTATATTTATAAGAATTAACTTACTCGTAAATAATAACCAAAATTATCTTGATCAATTAAATAATGAACAACACATGATCGTTTCATATATTTTGGTACACGAATTGAAAGAACATATGTATTTTTTGATGTGACTGATGTTGGTCGTCGAACAAGAAAACTACCAACTGAACGACATGATAAAGCATCTTCTACAGCTTCTCTAATCAAAATATACTTATGGATTGTATACATACGATGAACTATTTATTTTACCTCGTTATATTCTCATGTAACCATGGAGCATCTTCATCAAGAATACTGGATATTGATGGCAATGGAGATGGATGTGGAGCAAAGCTACAACAGAATGTCAAATTAGTATTGTCATTTGTCATTTTTTATATACAGATTATAAAGTTCAATATATTTTATCCTTCACCTTTGAATAGGATTCATTGATGTATAAAATTTTTGTATATCCGGTTTTATTGAGGAAATCAATTATCTCATACCTTTTAAGAACAATGGATGATGGTCGATTAATCGAAATAATTGAATTTTGAATACTTTTAAAATCATCACTTAATGATGAATCAGTTTCTTCATTACTATCTACTGTTGTCGTTGTTGTTGTTGTTGTTGTTATTGTTGCTGCTGGTACAATTACTTGTGATGATCTTTTATCATAATAAAAAAAATGATAATCATATTTATTTTTCCCTATTGATATAATAATATATAAAACATACTTGTTCTTCATTCTTTGACTGGTGGTATTGCCACTAGCAAATGTTCGTCTTATCGTCTCAAACATTGATCTTGTACAATAGTTATTCTTGTCTGGAAATAAGAGAATTACTTGGAAGATAAACAATATACCTTTTGTTGAATAAGAAAGAGAAAGACGAAGAAGAAAAAGAGAGTAAGTAAATATTCTTAGTGATGCAATTGCCAATGATCAAGATGGCAGACACCAACCAAAACAGAAAAGAAAATAGGGAGAGAGAGAGAGATGATAGACGTGTGAGAATAGTTGATTAGGTTATGGTCCAACAACAACAAAAAATGTATTGTTTGATCTTTTTTCCATCTTTATATATTATGTTGATAGTTATCCTTCTTCACCTCTGAATGATGGTCATTCTGATAAACGATTAAAAATCAATCTTCAGCATAACTGACGACTGACTACTATCAACTACTTTGAACCGATTGTGTAATCTAACTCTTGTGAAGCCAATTCTTTTTTTTCTTTCTTTCTTTGAATGTCGATAGAGTATGTATGTGTTATGTCAGTAACTATTTCACAAGATTGACATACACTATCAACAATAGATGTATCTGATAGGTAAAAGACGAGATTATATCTCATATAACATTCAACTTTATCAAAGAAAAAATTACAACTTACTTTTATTTCATCATCATCATCATCATCATTGATCCTAACTAACTAACTTTGTCTTTCTCTCTTTAGATCAATCGATTTTTTTTGTTCTTCTTTTCGTTTATAATTACATCATAAATCAGTATCGTGCATAGACAAATAAAATATTATCTTTTTTTTCTGTTTTTTGATCTCAAGTATCTCAATTATTTTCTTCGATTAAATTAAATACTTGATTAACGAATCATGTTGTAATATTTTTTTTCTCATATGAAATCATGCAAAGAAAAATAAATGATGTAATATATTTTTTTTCATTTTAATTTTCAAACTTCTTGATAATAAAAGCATATATATATGAATAGAAATAATTAGAAACTAGAAAATCACACTTGAGAGAAAAAAAATGATTGTTTCGTTTTGTAATGATACATTAATCGATTCGATTACCCCAGATAAGCCATAAAGCATGAATACATCCTGGTAGAAAACCAAGAAGTGTCAATAAACTAAATATATCAAACAAAAAAAAAGTTATTTTTGTAATATTATGAAATAAAATTGATTTACATATTCAAGAAGAAATGTAAACTACATCCAACTTGAATTAAAGCAGCAATTGGTGGAAAAACAATTGCTAAAATTGTTAAAAGACTAGAAAAAAGAAAATATGAATTAATTCTCGATCATATTTTTTACATACATAGTTCCAAGTAGACCCATGATATCAATCGACGAATAGAATAGAAGGAAAAGTTGTGTATATCAACGGATATTCTCTTTTTTCTTATTCTCACTGATACAAAAGCTCTTATTTTCCTCTCTTTATACTAACAATACATAGAAAGAATGCGCGGATATTTTCTATACTTTTTCTCTTCCGCTGTATGTATTTTTTTCTGCCAAATCTATAAATGGCATCCTGCATTCGATGTCACACACATGCAGAAGATTGTTTTTTTTCCTTCTCATTCTCATACATCGTATTCTATCTGGTATCATAGCATAATAAACATCTTTTTTGCTTATTACTCTAAAGTCTACGTGACTAATATATACTTCAGTCAATTGGAATACATAGGATCAGGTTGCTAATCATCAAACGATATTATCTATTTCGAATTTAGGCAATAACATAATTTTTTTATGCAAATCCTATTCAAAAAATTAGAATATAAGTTATAATGTCACATACAAGATCGATTAGAATTTCTATATTCTATACATGTTGAATCTGAAATCAATATATATATATCATTTTTATGAATATAATATAAACAAAATATAGATTCCGTAATAACTATAAAATGAGATATGCATCGATTATTGCCTTCTTTATATACAGACTAAATAAATAGGACATATTTTTAATCAATAAATATTTATTTCATTCAATTAATTACGATAAAAATTCGTGTGAATACTCGGAAAAAAGATTTATATGTATACAGATCTTACATTTTTAGACAACCGACCCATATCGTGAGTTGATTCGTTTTGAATTTAATATACATGAATAATTAAGTAATACGTATTTGAGAATAATTCTTTGTATTATCAACGTTTACTATTACAATTAATCATGAAAATGTATTTACTAATTCATCATATATTTAACAAATGAGTTATGTCTAAAGAAAAAAGAAGCTATGTGAATGTTTAGATAAGATTATATCAATGAATAATCAAACATGTCAAGTGTATAGAATAGAATGCTCGTTAATTGTATAATATATTGCTTCTTTATCCAATAAAATTAAATATTATTCGATATAGAGAATGTGTCACAAATTAAGAATAAAACAAAATGTTATATAATTAAATATCGAATTAGCAATAGTTGATAAAACGTAAAATATTCTTCTGTTTTAAAGGCAATCGAAAACCATCACGCCAAACAATAAAATGTGTATATAGAAAATAATAGTTTTTATCGTGAAAATGTATTTGTTTTGCATTTTTATAAGAGAAACGAGGAACACCTAAACCTACAATGCAGATAATTTAAATTTTCTTTTTATTCTCTCGTGTTTTGACTCTACATAGAGTCAAAAAGAATCGTTATTTATTGAACTGGAACGAACACATATATTTTTATAAGCGATAGTATATAACAGCTCAAATATATAAGCTATTCATATTTTTCTTTCGTTTGATATACCTGCAAAGGTAAGGTGTAGATGAATAGTTCGTCATAGGTTATAGTTGTTATTGTTTAACCTTATTGATATTAAAGCAAAATTGTGAAGCCCCACAAATACGTCATTCTTATTCTTTGTAAATTTATCTCTTATTATTTATTTATAAGTCATACAATAAGGTATTTAGACAATCTACGTAAAATGTGGGTGTGTTATTTGATTAAAATTATTTGTGGCTAATACATCGCAGTACAAATATCTGTTCTCATTCAAGAACAGTTTTATTTTTTTTCTAGCATTCTTTAAATATATTTCATGGTAAAATAATATAAATTCGATATTTTATATGATAAATCAATGTATGAGCAAGTAGTTCGTTTTTATATCGTTCTTTCTTATTATTTTGTTTTTGAATATTCGCTTGTAATTATTGCATATAAAAAATAGACTTGTTTTTCTAGATATAACAATTTCATTTTATTCGTGTTCATTAATATACGATCATCATGAGTGATTTGGCAGGTAAAATTCTTCTGTCAATTTTAGCTATTTTATTACCACCAATAGCAGCAATTATAAGAGTATATATCTTTTGAAAATAAATATATTCATGAATAAAAATTCTGCTATATTTACATAGGTTGGTTGTTCAACTCATTTTTGGATTAATTTAGTATTAACTCTTCTTGGATGGTTACCTGGTGTAATCCATGCTTTATGGCTTGTTTGGGCTGGTCCGTCGACTGTATAGTTATGTACGTGTATATAGAAGCAAAATAACAAACGAACTTAGAATTTTTTATTTCTTTTTCTTCTAATATTCATTTTAATATCTGTTAGTTTCATGTCATCTGTTTATCAATCTAATTTGTTTTTGTTTTTCTATTTCTTTATTGTGATACATATATAAATCGAGCGAATTAGTTTTTAGAGAAAAAGAAAAGAAAAATAGTTTATATGTATGAATACGGTGAAGGCGTTGGAAGAGCTTGCTGTGGTTTTTGTATACGAGGTGGAAGAGTTGATATTGGTTGCTTTGCATAAGGTGAAGCTGCTTGCTGTTGTAATTGCTTTGCATACGGCGAAACTGCTTGCTGTTGTAGTTGCTTTGCATACGGTGAGACTGCTTGCTGTTGTAGTTGCTTTGCATACGGTGAAGCTGCCTGCTGTTGTAATTGCTGTGAATGATATGGACATTGCTGCTGCTGCTGTTGTTGTTGTTGTGGATAATATGAATATGGTTGATAAGTTGATGGAGGTTGTTGCATCATAGGTACTTGAGAATGTACTTGACATTGAGGTGCAAAATTATGATCATTAGGAGTAATTCCACGTCGTTGAATTTCATGATATTGTCCTGTACCACGATCTAATCGACGTTCAATAATTTCGCCACAATCACCAACAAAATAGCCAATTTCTACTTTTTCAATACCACGATCTGGATCACGTAATGCTTTTTTTGTTTGCCAAATACCACCTGGTCCCATTCGACGTTCATTATGTGCTTGTACAATATGTGGTCGTCCATCAGGTCCACGTGTTATTTGTGTTACATTCATTGCACTTACACCAAATACTTGTGGATGATGAGCAGCTGCATCTAAACCTGCAATTGGCGATCGACCCATAAGATCAGGACCATTTCGTAATATTTCACCCATTAATTTGTTTGCAAGACCAAAAAGAGAACCTAATAAATCACCACCAGTCATCTCAACATTACTACCATAGATACCTCTATTGAACTGTTGATTCATAAGAGCTCCATTGTTTATATTATGAGGTTGTAGAATATAAGACATTGTGTTTAGTTTCCGTTTCAACAATAACTTGTATAACGTATGTAATGATTTCCTTTTGTAGATCGAAAATGAGACTGAATGAATGCTCTTATATGGACATTGAACAAGAACAATCGAGAACATTTCTATGCATATTTCTTGGTCATACTTCGTTGATTTGACCCATTTCTTTTTTTTTTCTATTATTTTTCTTTCTTTTATCTTTTACTATTGATTCAATGTCTTTTATTGTATACTCAATATAAAAGAAAAAAAAATGATTTGATCGATATTTATTCATATCAAGATTTGAATATAGTACACAAAAGAACTATGAAATAACTATATTCTGAACTTATTACCTTGAACAGCGTGAAGAACTCAATAAAGAAAAAATGTTCTTCTATCAATTACAATGAATTCCAAGTATGTATAGATAAGTTATCAATATAGGCATATTTCTATTCTACTGAACAGTATATCTAAGAATTTTCTCAAGTAATAACAAGGTTAAACTAGATGATTTTTATTTCTTGAATAATATCATATGGTGAATTGAAGAGATGATATCTGATTTGCTGTATAACGAAGAAAATATCCTCTCCTACACTAATCTCGAAAAAAAGACCATTATCATTAGTATTATTTTAATTGGAAGTTTTCTTTTAGCTATAATATACAAATAATGAATAATAAAAACAATTATTCGTATTCAAAAGGTTATAATAGTTAAATAAATTGCAGAAAATAGCCACTTTATAATTAACGAGTACCTATGACGAGAAACTTTATTTGATATGTAAGTGTTATTGATAAATAATTTTCCGAATGTTTAGTATGAAAATATTTCCTATTGTTGTTTTTGAAGAAACATTCTTCAATCCTTTTATTCATTATTTAATGTTTTTGTTTCATAATCAACAAAACAAGCAAAAGGATTCATTAGATTGCGTTCATGTCGAGGTTGAAATGTGACACGAGTAGCACCTGGAAAAAATTCTTTTATATTTTCTTCTTGTATAGCACCTAGAAATAAATTCAAAAAAAGTTTAATTTTTAGAATATAAGATTAATAGAGATTTTCTTACCAGTACATATGATATTTTTACATATAGGTGTTGTTTTACCAATAAATTTAGCTAGATGAGATACTTTTTCGAAACATTCTCGTGAAAGAAATGGTGGATCAATAATCAAAACATCAAAGGAATGTTTTAAAGAAGCATAATTTTGTTCAATTCGTTCACTATCATTATAATCGTATTCAACAAAAGTATTATCACCAGTAGAAAAACGAGTATCATATTCAAATAGAACACTATGAATTTCTGGATGTTCCTATTCAATTTCAAAATATATAATTAGATAAATTATTATCTAACTAATCTTACTTTACGTATAAGATTCCATACAGTTGGACAAGCAACAAAGGCACATCTAGGAAAACAAAATTCATTCGAAAGAAAACAAAACTAAAATCTTACTGTCCATGTTCTGGTAAAATAGCTCTTACTTCATCCATCAATCGTGTAGCTGTTTCATTGTTATACCAAAATTGACTTAATTGCTAAATATATCAAAATTTCCCTAGTCAAGTATATAACGAGAAAGAAATAAACAATGAATCCATCTACATCCTATCTAAGACGAGATATTTATCCTAAGATGGCACACTGTTTAAAGCTTTTAAGAGTAGAATTTACAAACCCAATCTTCTTGTGGTTTATTTGCTGCATTATTTTGTTCTTGTTCTTGTTGCCACTCTTGAAGAGCTTTCAATGTTTCAGCTGATAACTGTGGTTGGTCATCATTATCGTCGTTAATCATCGGAAAATAAAAAAACAAACAAACAGATATTTCTATGTTTTTCCCCAATTTATTTTACAAACGAATAGCAACTGTTTCTATTATGTTGGAGATAAAAATTAAAAGGAAAAGAAAGAGTTCATTTTTGTAAAGGTTCATCACTTGGTTTTTTCTCATATTTTTCTACTTGTTTTCCATCTACAGTAATTTCTTCTTTTTTATCTTCACGAAGTTTTCGATGTGTACGTTGTGTATTCCAAATAGTTGCATAATGACCATTTTCTTTTGCTAATAATTCATCATGTGTACCTTGTTCAATAACTTTACCTTGATCTAAAATAATAATATTATCACAATCAGTTATTGTACTTAAACGATGTGCAATAACGATTGATGTTCGATTTCTTGTTAATTTTTGAAGAGAATTTAAAATAGCCTAAAAGAAAAGATAAAATAATAATCGAAAACTAAATAAAGAAATTTTACTTGTTCAGTTGTTGTATCTAAATGGGCAGTAGCTTCATCATAAATAAGTATAATTGGGTCTTTTAGGAGTGCACGGGCAATACTTATACGTTGTTTTTCACCTCCGGATAATTTTAACCCACGTTCTCCAACAACTGTTTCATACTTTTTAGGCATTCTTAATATAGCATTATGTACTTCAGCTAGTTTAGCTGCTTCATAAACTTGTTCTTTTGATGCTTTTAAATTTCCGTAATTAATATTATAAAAAATATTATCATGAAATAATATTGAATCCTGCAAAAAAATGTTTAAGTAGATTTTATTGAAACAATTTCATAGACTAACTTGAGGTACAACTCCAATAGCTTTACGTAAACTTGGAAGAGATACTTCTTGAATATTTTGATCATTTACACGAATTTGTCCACTTTGTGGATCATAAAATCGAAATAAAAGACGTACAATTGTTGATTTACTATAAAAATATTGTCGTTTATTTTTCTTGTAATGAATAATTAAAATTTACCCTGAACCAGAACCACCAACAATAGCAACTTTTTGTCCTGCAGGAACAGTAAATGAAAGTTTATCAAGAATTTTTTGACCTTCACTATAACCAAAAGTAACATTATCAAAAACAATTGATGATTGTTCTGGACTAATTGCCAATGATGATGCTTTCTCTTTATCCTAACAACAACAACAAAATAAATCTTATTGAAATACTATTTCAATTTACTTTAACACTTGATTCAACCATTGTTAAACGAAACATTGTTTCCATATCAACAACCGATTGTTTAACTTCACGATAGACTGAACCCAAAAAGTTTAATGGCATTGATAATTGAAAAACAAGTCCATTTACAGCAACTAAATCACCAACTGTCATTGAACCATCACTAATTCCACCAGCAGCTAATAACATAATACCAGTTAAACCTAAACTAAATATCGCATTTTGACCAAAACTAAAATATAGAAATTTACAATAGATTAAATATTATTTTATACATTCAAAGATAAAATATACTTTAACATTGCTAAACTTGTTTGTGTTTTGATTGATGCTGTTTCATATTCCGATAATGTTTTATCATATCGTTCAAGTTCATGAGCTTCATTATTAAAATACTAAATTATAAAATAAATATAGAGTGGAAAATTAATATCAATTTTATACTTTAACAGTTTCAAAATTAATCATTGAATCAACAGCTCGATTGCCTGCTTCACTATCCGCTTTATTCATTTGAACACGAAATTTTGTTCTAAATTTACAAAATTCTCTTCAAATTTCCTATAAAAATTCTTTTATACCTCCATTGAGTAACTGCAAATGTATATGCAGTATACCCAGCAATGCAACCAAAAGCTAAATAAATCAAAGTTTACATTAAATATTTCTCTTCTTTATTGATCTATATTAAAAAACTTGTCAACGCAGCTCCATTACGGTTAACAACGTGGAATTCTTTCATATGTGCTACAGAGGATTTGTTATACAATAGCGTGTGAGGGATGTACCAATTAGCAACTTTGATTTCAAAATTTATGGTCACAATTTTTTCTAAAGAGTCGATGGGTGATATATTAACCTGTTACCCATACCCATTCCACAAAACCATTTTTAAAATATACTCACCGATAGCTCCATATGACAATCCATATTTATACCACTAAAATAATGATTTGTAAAAACAACTACTGTTTTAATAAAATATCTGTCTTACCAAAACTCCGCTGACAAGACCGACTTCGAACATAGTTGGTACAATATTAAATACCAATGCCGATAGAACAAAACTTATGCCTCTATTAAAATATATTTCTTAGTTTTGTTTTTGTTATTGTAATAATAAAAATTCATTTAGTTTTTTACTTAGTTCCACGATCAATTGCTTTTGATAATGCACCTGTTTGTCTTCCCAAATGAAAACTCAAATCAAGATTATGTATATGTGAAAAAACTTTTTTTGCTAATTCACGAATACTTCGATGTGCTACATTTGCAAATATTGCATTACGTAATTCACCAAATAAAGCAGCACCAGCTCGTGCAGCACCATCTAGAAATTTATTTTTGTTGTTGTTGTAATCTCTAAACAATAAGTCTAATCTTACATCCTATAAGTAAAGCAGTAACCATAGATATAATTGTAGATTGTGTTGTATCACCATGTAATGTTCGACCTGTATTAAGTTCATCAACTAAGTATTTAAACATAAATGGAACACTTATATTTAATAACTAGAAAAGATTGAAAATTTTATATAAAAATTTAAATGAATAATTTAAATATTACTTTAGAAATCAATAAAAGTCCTAATGCAATTAAAACACGAATTTTAACTTGTTTGCCATTTTTTGGCCAAATAAAATCGAACATTGCTTTAAAAATATAACGTGCTGTAATATTTTGTTTCGGAACACCAACTTCAGGTGCACCTGTACCATTATGACGTCCGTGCCATTTACGCTAAATGATTCAAATTTATACATATAAAATCATATCCAATAAAAATAATTACAAAGAAAACACGAATTATATTTCGACTTCTACCAAATAGCGAAGAAGATGCTTTGAAATTAGCCTATGGAATAAATCAAAGTTAATTTATATATATATATATATCCATCAAAAAATAAAATTATTTATACATGATTATACGCAGGATGAGGTTTAGATAAAATTGATGATTTAAGAAAAGTTCTTAATGAACTATTTGTAATTGGTGGAAGACGATAATGGTTAGTGCATTTGAAAAATGGGGCCGAGAAGAGAGTCCGCCGTAAAAGCGGATTCATCTCGAAAGCAACAAATTAATATGTTTTGATATAATCTATAAGAAAATTTTCATATTAATTTTATCAAAGAATAAAACTATTTCGATAACAATCATGGGTAGCACACCAGTATTACAAAAGGCAGCAATAACTTTCCCTAGAAACAACTCTAAGAAGCAACAAAAGGTTGCTGCTTCCCTCAATTCCCCTGTTTTTGGATGTATGATAGCCAAACTATGATGAATTCAATCATGAATAGCGTACTACCACTACAAGATATGTAAATTGCTTTCTCTAAAAAATTTGAACTAGCAATCAGAATTTATTTGTTCTCCTAAAAGACGGAGCTTGCGCCATCCATGTTAACAATATCAAAATATTCCTAATAAAATTCGAAGAAAAAAAAGCAATCAACATTGAGTAATACACAAATTTCAATCACTAATTAAATTTCTTAAATAGAATTCTATATTTCGAAGACAACCTCTATAATCTTCTCTACCTATATTTTTTCCTATATCGTCTTGTAAAAATTCTTCTCCATGAAATACCACATTTATTTTCATTGGTCAATTAATTCTCCAATAAAAATCCGAGGTCACCATTATCACGTTCTTTTTATTTATTTTCTTTTCCTTGCGTATAATAGGTTAGTTCATCTGGACGATGTTTGTTTGTTCTATTTGATTTGAAATATCTTTTATTCAAGGCTATTGTTATATGTATAATTTAGATCATCTTAATATATTCATTAATCATTCGTATCCATAACTTTAAAATATGTCAATAATCCGTCATAAAGACGGTCATCCAAATATAAAATTTTTTGAATCAGTTGAAACATTAAATCAATTTGATACAATAAAAAAAGCTTTACAAAAGAAAGAATTAAAGAAAATCTTTGGTGATGATCAAAATCATTTAACAAAAGAAAATATCGCTCAACTTGTTATACAATTACTTCATTTTCAAGAAGAACATCTTGGAAAACAATCAAATGGTTCCGCACCTCTCACACGTATACCCGTAAGAAGAAAAAACAAACATATCATTTTCTTTTGTTTTACAATTATTAATTTTTCTAGATGGAATGTTTTTTGGATTTTCGAGAATCAGGTGCACTATATACAATTATTCTTGGTTGTTATGAATATAAAAATAATAATAATTGGTAAGGAGAGAAAAAAAAGAATTTATATTATATCTTTTTTTTATTCTCATTTAGGAAAAAACTTGATTTATCAACACATTCTCGAAATGATGTCATAAAATTATTTCAATCTATTCAAAAATTATTAATTGATCGAAATGTTTTAACATTACCTATATGTTATTTACGTCCAAATATTGATAAACGTTTACAAACACAATTAAAACAAATAATTGAAAAAAATAATGGAACTGTTGCAGATAAAGAAGAAGATGCTGATCATATTGTTTACCCACCAATCACAGAAAATCCACGTGAAATTGATAGTGAACGTGAAAGTAAAAGAAACTATTTGAAAAAATTGATTGATTTAATTTGAGTTTGTTTTTCTTAGATGAAATTGTTCGTGTAGTAGAAAAACGTGGAAAAGATTGTCGTTTACATTACTGGTTTTTTCCTGATTCATTTGATATTTGGGTATCGAATGTTGATGCTGAAGAATCAGAAAAACGTGATGAAACATTTCAAGGTATATGGCATGTTGCTGCTAATTGGGTTTTAGATACAGCTGAATTTAATGAATGGATGAATGAAGAAGATTATGAAATTGATGAAGATTTAGTAAGAATCAAAACAAACATTTTTTCTAAAACCTATAATTTTATTTTTAGGGAAGAGATCAAGGAAGAATTAAATTAAAAAATTGTACTACAGGAAGAAAAACATTATCAATGGTAAGAATTATATCCAATAAGTTTTCATATAAGATAATTACCTCTACAAATAAGAACAAAAATTTGATTCAGATGTATAGGATTAACACTGAGGATTCGATTTGAGTTTTTTTTGGCATTTCTCTCATCATGTTTTCTTCCTTTGATAAAGTACAGACAGAAAGAAAAAAAAATTTTGTCGTTCATTTGGAACTCACATTAGTCTTTCATACCCATCGTTCTTTTTTTTTCTTTTCTTTTCTCATTGCAATAACTGACGAATAAACTCTGTCATCGTCATTTTTCTTTTCCTCTATTTCTCCTCGGCTGACATATACAGAAAAAGAATAACGATAGAAGCATCACTACCAAAACTCAGTATCGGATAATTGAAACTTTCATATGCGTGTGTTTTTTTCGCGTCAATAAAATATAATAGAAAACATGGTAATGATCGATATAATTATTAATGAAAATAAAATATATAATATTATTTAGCTTGTACCTGATCGTAAAACAGCACCAAGTCCAACGACAGTATCAAGTGGAACGACAAATAATTCTAAAAAACGTTCAACAACAAATCCAGCAGCAACAAAACAACGAAAGTAAATGAAAAAAAAGTTTTAATTCGAAGAAAATTTTATTTTTTTGTTTTATAAAGAAAACAAAAGCGAGGCGGAATTGATACAGATGAAAATGATCTGTCTAAAGATGGAGAAAATTCTTTATCACAATCACTTTTCGATGATCAAACATCATCAAGAACACGTAAAGATTTTCTATTAAATAACAATTAAATTTATTGTTATAAAATATTTAATTTAGCATTAAGTGGTCAAAAACTGAATGATTCACAATTACCACGTAGTACAACATTAAATGATTTAAATGATGATGGAGATGATATTGATGATCAACAAATTCAAGGTGATTCAAATCAAATAAAAAAATTTAATGATCCAGAAGCATGTGAACAAACACATCATATTGTTATTCCAAGTTATTCAGCATGGTTTGATTATAATGCAATAAATTCTATTGAAAAACGTGCATTAAATGAATTTTTCAATGCAAAAAATCGTTCCAAAACACCTGAAATGTAATATTTACAAAACAAAAAATTTTTTTCCTAATAAAAATCTATATGTATTTATTTAGTTATATGGCATATCGCAATTTTATGATTGATACATATCGTTTAAATCCAAATGAATATTTAACTGTAACAGCATGTCGAAGAAATTTAGCTGGAGATGTTTGTGCGATTATGCGTATACATGCATTTCTTGAACAATGGGGTTTAATTAATTATCAAGTTGATGCTGATTTACGTCCAACACCAATGGGACCACCCTGTACATCACATTTTACTGTTCTAGGTGATACTCCTTGTGGTTTAGCACCTGTTGGACATCCTAAAGGCATTCAACGTGAAGTAAATTAAACAAAAGAACAAAAAATATATATAATTCCATTATCAAATTTTTTTTTTCTTCAATAGAATTCAGCACCCAAACAAATAACGGAATTAAAACAAGAAACAAAACGTGAAGAACGTGATGTGGACAATAGTTTAAGTTTAAGAACTGATCAATATAATAAAAAACTGACTTTAGTAAGTCAAAATTCTTTTTTTCATATAGAAAAGTCGAATCGATATAAGATTGTACGAAATTTAGTTCCGGTAATTAGTTAGTATACTTGTGATATATGCTTGATACCTGTTCATAGGTACAGCTAAGGAGAAACGATGTTTTTTTTTGAATTGTGTCTTATGTGATAAGATAGGATATGCCTATTTTGACGTTTATACAACTAATGATTTCATTTATATTTAGAATCCAAAAACAAAAGTGAAAGATTGGTCTGATCAAGAAGTTCTTCTTTTACTTGAAGGTAAAAATTATTTCGTTTTTAATATTTTTATTTAAGTCTTTATTTTCTAGGTCTTGAAATGTATAAAGATGATTGGAATAAAGTTTGTGAACATGTTGGTACACGTACACAAGATGAATGTATATTAAAATTTCTTCAATTACCAATTGAAGATCCATATTTAGAAGGAAGTGGTGCATCATTAGGTCCACTTGCTTATCAACCAATACCATTTAGTCAAAGTGGTAATCCAGTTATGTCAACAGTTGCATTTCTTGCATCAGTTGTTGATCCACGTGTATCAAATGTTGCTGTTAAAGCAGCTTTAGATGAATTTACTAAAATGCGTGATGAAGTTTCACCATCATTTATTGAAACAAATCGTGAAATTATTGAAAGTGCATTAAGAAAAGGAAAGAAACTTGATGAAAATTCAAGTTTAGAATTACTTGGATTAACTAGTAATACAGGTAAAAAGAATTTACATTGAAAAAACCAACTAAATATTCTATTTAATTAGAAGAAGACGAAAATAATACCGATAAAACTAAAAATGGTCCTGATAATGAAGATTCATCAAAAGTAAAACAAGAAAAAGTCGATGTCAATGACGAACAACCATCATTAACTGAAAAATCCGTAAATAAAAAAACTTTTCATTAAAAAAAAATAACACAACGATATTTCCATTATAGATTAATCATGAAGATGAAACAAAAAAAATGGATGTTGATGAAAATGATAAATCAACAAATGAAATGAATACTCAAAGTGGTGGTGGTGGTGATACACAAATTATTTCTGATGATACATCATCAACTATACCTAAAACAACAAATACTGATCAAGAACAAAAAAAACTTTCAACAACTGATGTTAATGAACGAGATTTAAAAACAGCTGCAGCAAGTGCCTTAGCAGCCGCAGCTGTTAAAGCTAAAGTATTTTTTAAATTTGTAAAAATAATATTTGATTTCAAATTCTTCTTCTGTTTTTAGTATTTGGCTTCAATTGAAGAACGTAAAATAAAATCAGCTGTTGCACAAGTTGTTGAAATGCAAATAAAAAAACTTGAAATTAAATTACGACATTTTGAAGAATTAGAAACAATTATGGATCGTGAACGTGAAATGCTTGAAATTCAACGACAACAATTATTACAAGAACGACAACAATTTCAATTAGAACAAATCAAAGCATCTGAATTAAAACATCGTCAAACAACAACATCAACAATTGTAAATAATAATAATAATACTATACAAAATCCTATTGTTAATACAAATGGTAAACAACAATCAAATACTAGTCCATCACCATTACCACCACCAACATCAACAACTACGACTACAACAACAACAACAGCAAATATTCCTTTATCATCAACAAATGGAACTGAACCACATGTACAAAGTGAAGAATCAACTGATTCTCAACCAAGTGATGGTAAAAAGAGATAATATTATTTATATTTTTTAATATAAACCTTTATTTTTGTTTGTAAAGTTTCACCTGCTCCAATGACATCACCAAAAATGATATCAACATTAGGAAATGATAATAATACTCTTCCAGGTAAATTTTGCATGAATATCTATGTTATTTGCTCGCTCAGCTGCTTGCTTTATGTCCGTTTTCCCTTTTGTTTGTTGTAGTTTTGTAGTTATTGCATGTATACTATTAGATGCACACATACATATATATATATACATATACATGTAGAAAACAAATTGACAACAGAATATATGCGCTCTCTCGCTGGCCAGTTCAATGAAATATATATTGCTTTAGAAAATATCAAATTTCTCCCATTAGTTTATTTTATTTAAAACAAAAGAAAATCTCAAAGCCATGTAGATATATTGCTTAAATAATATTTATTTTAAAACTCAACAAACAAAAAAAAAATATAATGAAAACGGTTAGAATACGCTCTAATGCTTTATTGACATTGTTATTTTTTCTTTCTTACCTATTCTTTTTTCATTTGTGGAATTAGTTTGAGATTAATTATATACACATATATATGATCTTTAAAGTTTTATTTTTGTTCTCGTTTTATTACTTCCGTATCGTTTTGTCTATCTCTTTGGTGTTGGTTTTCTCTGTTTCTTTATTGATGTTATCTGGCCAGAGTGCATAAGCAAACTAGAGAATTCGAAAAAGAGAGAGAGAGGACATATATTTGTTGTTTTGTATATTGTCCTTGTTTGCATGTTTACCTTCATGTATATAATCTTTTGCCTGTTGTCATTGTTTTGTACACATATGTATATATATATTTATATATATATTTGGGATTGCATGCATCATCTTATCTTTCTTTTACTTAGCAAAGGACAATGAATTGATGCATGAAAAGAACAATTCTATTTTTTTTTCTTCACTTCTATATATATATAAATTTTGTTATTTTGTTTTATTGATTATTTATTGTGTATTTGACTATATACAATAATTTGTTTGTCATTCTTTCGTTTTTGTTTTGTCCTTGTTATTATATTTTTCCAATTTCAGGCAGTACAGTAGAAGAAACAACTACAACAACAACAACTAGTTCAACAATAGAAACAACATCTGATCTTGGTGTTACAATTAATAATACAACAATTACTACAACTGAAAAAATGCTCATTGTAAACACCGGTGAAAATGGTAGTGAAACAAATGATGATGTAGTTAATAATACTCCTATTCCTACCATTACAGAAACTGACAATACAAATAATAATAATTATTGACAAAAATAAAAACCTTTTCGTGTGTTTTCTCATCGTTTTCTTTTCTTTTCTTTTTTGTGTTTATTTCTCTCGAATGTATTCTCTTAAAAAGTTGCCAGCCAGGCGTTTAACTCATTCGAATGATCTTTGTGTTTCGTCTATTATTAAAAATTTGATTCTTCTTTTTTTTTTCTTTCTTTCTGTCTTCTCTTATTCTTTTCAAATAACACATATACTACTCACTGCCACTTACATACACAAAACATAGTGTATTATGCATATATATACCTATATATATTTACTTCTATTAGAAATTTAAAATTTATATCTGTTCTTGCCAAAGCTAAAGCAGAAAATGAACGAAAAGAATATATGTGTATGTGTTATAATAACGCGTCTTATATTATTTCTTATTTGTTGTTGATCATTAAAAAAAAATGAAAATAAGCCAAAAAAAAAATTCTCAATCTATATAGATAACAGAAAAAATTGATTGTTTTATATTATTTGCTGTTTCTAGGATATTTATCCGAGGAGGGCGAACTATCTGATGGACAAGAAGATGATTCAAGATCTTCTTCATCATTATCAATTATACGAAGACAAAATCGACATTCAACATCAACATCTCGTTCATTATCAGCAGGAAATTATCCTAGTACATCAAGACATTATGGATCACATGATCAATTAAATATTTCGAGTGCTTCATCATCTTATTCAAATAGTCAACTTAATATAGATGATGATAAACGACGATATCAATGTTCGACATGTTCAAAAAAATTTAAACATAAACATCATTTAAAAGAACATGAACGATTACATACAGGTGAAAAACCATATACATGCGATAAATGTGGAAAACGTTTTAGCCATTCAGGTATTATTAAATAGATTTTAATCATTCATTCATTCATTCATTTTTATATTATTAGGTTCGTATTCTCAACATATTAATCAACGTAATAAATATTGTCGACCAGATCAAAATGATGCAGAATTTGATTAGATATTATTTATAGACAAATATAAATCGCTTCTTCCTTTTTTCTTTTCTTTTGTCTTTCAATGATTATGTTTTCTTTCTTAATCAAGATCTCTTCCAATTTCTTTTTTTTTCCATCGCAACAGAACAAAACAGTTTAACGTGATATTAACGAAACGAACAGTAGTAGTATTCCGGACAAGAAATTAAAGTATTTATTAAATGTGATAAAACATAACAAAAATTCCTATGACGAACTTTCCGATCATGTATCGCTCAATTTTTTTTTTGTTTTTTTATAAATTGTATATATAAGTCGAGTAAGGGGCGCATCGATCAAAACATATTTCTTTGTGCAAAAAATTCTTTTTAAAAATAATTCGATTATATAATATTTGTTTTTCTTTTTTTGAACTTATAGCGCAATACATCTTATAGATTTGTTTCTTCTTTCTTTCTGTTCTATTTGTAAATAAAATTTCGATTTTAATTACTTTTTCGTATTAAATTCTATTGATATGATTTTCTTTTAGAATAAAAAGCAATGGGTAAAAATAAACATTCATTTGATGGTGAAAAAAAAGAAAAAATGAATAAAAAAAATCAACAAGAAGAACATGATTATACAGAAATGCCACCAGGATGGAAAGAACCAACATTTACTAAAGAAGATAATCCACATGGTTAAATTCTTTTATTTTTATTTTATTGAGAATATTTTTTTGTAAATTTAACTATAGGACTGATTGCTGAAAGTTCATTTGCGACTTTATTTCCAAAATATCGTGAAAAATATCTTCAAGAATGTTGGCCATTAGTCAAAGCTGAATTATCAAAATTTGTAATTAAAAAAAAAGATTTATATGTATGTATATGTATCTTTTTTGAAGGGTATTAAAGCTGAACTTGATCTAGTCGAAGGTAGTATGACAGTACGTACAACACGTGATGCATTTGATCCTTATATGATTGTTCGTGCACGTGATTTAATAAAATTACTTGCTAGAAGTGTTCCTTATGAACAAGTAAGAATTATAGTTTTTTTTAAAATTATGTTTATTTTTTTTTCGATATTAAAGGCTGTGAGAATTTTACAAGATGATAATGTATGTGACATTATCAAGATAAGTTCATTAGTACGTAATAGAGATCGTTTTGTTAAAAGACGACAACGATTAATTGGTTCAAATGGATCAACTCTTAAAGTAAATCATACCGTAAAAACGATTTTATTTTCCTATTCAATAATTTAGGCTATTGAACTTTTAACTAATTGTTACATTCTTGTTCATGGTAATACAGTTACAGCTATTGGACCTCATCCAGGCATTCGACAAGTATAGAATTTCTATTCTAATAAAACCTATATTCTTTATTTGTCTATATAGACAAGAAAAATTGTTGAAGAAACCATGCAAAATATTCATCCAATTTACAACATAAAAGTAAAATACGAAAATAAATACAAATATTTTATTATACATTTTGTATTATTTAGACATTAATGATAAAACAAGAATTAGCTAAAGATCCGAAATTAAAAAGTGAATCATGGGATCGTTTTCTTCCGAAATTTAAATCGAAAAATCTTTCAAAACGCTTTAAACCACATAAAGTTCGTGTTACGAAACCATATACACCATTTCCTCCAGCACAACCATTATCTAAAGTAAATTACTGTGATTATTTCATATAAATATATTTTTTATATGAATCAATTCTAGGTTGACAAAGAACTTGAAACTGGAGAATATTTTGCTAGAGAAGCTGAACGTCGTCAGAAGAAATCTGAAAAACATCAAGTTAAATTAGATAAAAATACTGAAGTATCAAAACAACGAAAGAAAGATAAACGAGAAAAGGAATATCAACCACCAATGGAAAAATCATCTCAACCTAAACAACAAGCAACAACAGATAGTAAAATTTCATTTTTGTTTTTATAAATTTTATTTATTTCGTTTTTTTTTAAGATACATCAAAATTAGTCAAAAATGTTAAGAAGAAACTAAAACGTTTACAAGCCGATTAATTATTTATCAATGAGAACATTGTTTTGTTTTTCTGTTATTCAATAAATATAAACTAAACTAACATGATTAATATACTAATCATGAATAGATAAGAAATATTTCTTTTTATTGAACTTGATGAAATTATTGTTTTTGTCTCATCAAGACATAAACCTGATAAACAACGAAGATTTGTTGTACACATAATTCCACCTTTATGTTGACATTTTAATTCTGCGGAATGAGTTTTTCCATTCCATAAACCTTTACAACGATTTTGATTTAAATATAAATCAAGTTGATTTTTTCCTAATGAACCAATACCAACTTGTTGTGAACCATATCGAATAGCAACAGTTGCTCGTTGTTGATTGAATATAAATGGTCCACTTGGTTCACATGTTTCAGCTGATGAATTACATTTACATGAATCAATTAAAAATATTCCATTTAAATTTTGACTTGATATTATTGGTAGAAATGATAAACATAATGTTAATGTTATAATCGAATGAAGCATGATTATGCAAATGATTAAAATTGAACAAGAAACGATATTTATAAATGAACAGTTTCATGCAAGATGATATTTTAAGCCTTTGTGTAGTAAAATATTAAGATTAAAATGAAAGTAATATGAGATGTTATATTTATAGTGAACGTCTATTTCATGGTTAAATCTTAATAAGAAATATCATTTCCGTGTATGACTCATATATTCATAAACGTAAAGATTTATAACAAGGTAAATGCTATGAATATTCTAGTATCATATATTCATATATGAGTTAGATCAATAAAAATATTAGTCATACACAAGATATGTATAGCGAATGATCGAGAAGTCTTGTCTCAATTTATATTAGTTCAATTAAGAAGAAGATTAAAAACTTAACTAAAAAATTTTGAATATAAAAATAAAATAATATGTCAAGTACAACTTATATATTTATATCACAATAGATTCACTTTGAAGCTGTTATATATAATTAATTTTATAGATCAAACACGTCCATAATAAATTATAGAATGTCTCTAAGATAAAGATGTTGTGAGTTAAATATTTAAACTACTATTTTCTTTCTATATTCTAAAACAATTTCAGTTAATTTTTAGTTTATGTATTTTACTATATCTTTTCATTATAAAGATAAATTTATTGCACAAATTGAGTTAGGACTTCTTGGATATCCTTTCTATAAAATTGAATATTATTTAATGATACAATGACGTTTAAAAATCGAGTACAATCAGTGCTTTCGCTTGTTTCAGAAGTATGAATATATTTTTTCCAGCATTAGAAAAAAACATCAATTTATGATATTAAAACAATTCAATAAAAATTTAAAACTAAAAGAACAAGTTTTGCTCAAATTAAGTATTCTAAAACATTTAGCGTCTACCTCGCTAATTGAAATATGTTTTAATGTTAAAATAAAGTCAAATAATAATTATTTTTTGCCGTATTGTATCACTGTTAATTATGAAACAGTCAATCAAGAATTTATATTCAATATCTAAACAAACTCTTGAAAAAACTTGTTATTATTCCATCTTTTTAAACTATTCTAACAAAAGACTAAGGAATTGAAATATTGTTCAAAACAAAAACGTTTTATCAGGATCTTTTCAAATTTTAAACTCAAAGAACATGATTTTTATACTTCTAATCAGATCATTTAATGCACAATACATACGTATGATCAAGTGACAAATAATAATTTCTATGTGACTCATAGAGGAAAAAAAGATTATTATTCACTTTCGCATACTCCAAGTACACATTATCAAATAAACATTTATTAATATCTTTAATGAGTAGCATCTAAATTAATTCGAACTTTAAAAAATTAAATAGTTCATCGCTTTCATGTCACACTAATTGTTAACATCATAGTACCCGTTATTATTCAACAATCTAAAAATACAACAGATGTCATGGTAATTAAGAGCAATTCACTTGATGAATGAAACTTATGTATAGAGCCTAAAGAACAAATTTTCTTATTGTCAAAATAAAAAAAGCTGAACGAGAACTTTAATTTTTACTGCTGACTGAATTCTTAACTATTATATTTACGCAAATCTAGTGCTTTATGTTTTCTTCTTTCTTTCTATAGCTAAAGTCAGAAATTTAATTTCCTTTTATCATCACGCAACGATTCATATTTTATTTTTTTTACAATTTCAGGTAAATTAACATAAAAAGAGATCATTAATATGTCTCTTTCAAGTTTACCTTTCATATATATTCACAAACTTCGACCTTTAATTTTTTATTGAACGAGTAACAACAACAGTAACAACTACCGTCAAGACAATTATTATTGTAACAATGAACTCTACAAATGGAAATTCTTATGATAGCGGTGATAATGCTTGGATGATGACATCAACCGTATTGGTTCTTCTCATGACACCTGCTTTAGCTTTCTTTTATGGTGGTCTTGTAGAACGTAAGAATATTCTTAATCAACTTTTTCTTTCCTTCATTTGTATGGGCATTGTATTTGTTCAATGGGTTCTCTTTGGATTCTCATTTGCTTTCGG